TATGTTTGAAGTAATTATAGTCATTTTTACCAGCTTGTATTTAAAAAGACTTCCTTTCCTATTCATTTTGGAAGAAAAAAATAATAGGATGAACTAGTTTTCTATATGTAGCTTATATAGTAGTTCATTTTCCTGGGGTGGATGAGGAACTTGAATCTTTCAAACCAAATTACAGAATAAATATATTTGTCATTTGATCTATGTACATAGTAAATAGGCCATTTAAGTTGATTTTTTTAGTCTGCTGTAAATGTGTTTGAAGGGGAAATCCTGTAATTTAAATGAAAGATACCATAAAGGATTACTTCTAAAGCATTTTATAGTGATATATCTAAATTTCACTCATTTTCATTCTGTGCCAGGAAAATATATGCCATCAGCTGGCTAAGGTGGGAAGATAATGAAGGAAGCCTGTGCCTTGAATGGGGGTGGGGCCACAGGAAGCAGTGAATGAGTCCAGGCTTTCCTTTCGGAATGCTCAAAGTGCTTCAGAGTTAGACTGGTGATGGTTGTCCAACTCTGAGTGTACTAAAAAGTACTGGATGTAGGCTTGCAATGGATGAATTTTATGATATATAAAATATATATACCTCAGTCATTAAAGCGGTAAAAGAAGAAGGAAGGAAAGAAGAGAGCTAGTTCTGTAAAGGTTTTCAAAGTAGTACCTCTGAAGACCTGCTTGTCTTCTGGGAAACCAGACTTTGTTCCTTTACATTGTCATTCATGTTTGCCCTGTGATAAACATGTAACTTAGAAGTAATAATGGCCCCAGATAGTTATAAAGTAGATAAACCTGGTCCATCTTCTTACCTGTTTAGTGTGTGTGTGTGTGTGTGTGTGTGTGTGTGTGTGTGTGTGTGTGCGTGTGAGAGAGAGAGAGAGAATTTGGGGTGTAAGTCACATGCTCTTCAGCAGTGTCAGCTTTTAAGTCATCTAAGTATTTTAGTTAGGCCTTTTAGAGGTTGAGGCTCAGGAACTATAGATATTAATTCTAAGAATAGATGTTTTAACAGCCCTTGAAGTGTAGAACTTTTCCAGAGGTGAGTAATCTTGTTTTTTCTTATGTGAGTCTTTTCAATGTTCTGTTATTTTGTTTATGCGTTACCATCAACATCCTGACAAATTTCAACGGAAAATCTAAATCAGAGGGTATCAGTACTGGATTTTACATTATAATTAATTATTGCTTAATTCCTAGGCAGAAGACTAGATGAAAAAATTTTCAATGACAACTATCTAACATTTTTTACCAAAGCTTGAATTAGAGGAAATAATTTTAGTGGGACAGCGAGGGCAAGCAATGAACCATAATTTATTAGATTAATGTGTTGCCTTTGCAGAACTGTAGGATTTCGCCTCTTGACCTGAAATTCTCAAAACATTTCCTCTTGGCATTTGAGCTAAATGTAATGTTTTCTGTTTTAGATTCCTTTCAGATCTTGGAGCCATTATCTTATCAACATTTCCTTGCCTTTTTTTTTAATGTTAAAATTTGCTTGATCTCATTTCCTACTTTATTTCTCCCACCTTAACATCTAACTGCATTGTTTTAGATCCTTTAGGATACTTTTCTCCTTCTGTTTTTGGACTCTGAACACACACTAATCTTGCTAAGACTAAGAAAGTTGATTAAAAATATTCATTAAATCAAATCTAATGACATTTACTATCTCTAAAATGATTTATTATTTGTTTTTAAATATTTTGTTCATTTTTAGAGAGAGGGGAAGGGAGGGAGAGAGGGAAAGAAACATCAGTGTGTGGTTGCCTCCTGTGTGCCCCAGTTCCCCACACTGGGGGGAACCTAGCTTGCAGCCCAGGCGTGTGCCCTGACTGGGAACAAACCAGTGACCCTTTGGTTTGCGGGCCAGTGCTCAATCCACTGAGCTACACCAGCCAGGGATGATTTCTTCATTATCATTAGAAGTTATTTTGGTTTTTTTTCTTGTGAAACTGAAAAGAGAATTAACATGCATATCTGTAGCCATATTTCAGTTATAAGATTCTCTGTATTCATGTATGGTATAAATTTGTTCTTTGATTAAGGATCACAAAGCCTGCTGATTAAACAAAAAGAAAATGTAAGTCACAAAGAATAAACAGCAACACAGTTATTTTGATATGCTTTTTTTAAAAAAAAAGATTTATTAGTTTTTAGACAGAGGGGAAGGGAGGGAGAAAGAGATAGAGAAACATCAGTGGGTGGTTGCCTCTCATGAGCCCCCTACTGGGGGCTTGGCCCACAACCCTGGCATGTGCCCTGACTGGGAATGGAACCAGTGACCTTTGGGTTTGCAAACCAGCACTCAATCCACTGAGCCACACCAGCCAGGGTTGATATGCTTGTTTTTGAGTAGAAGAAGCTAAGTATTATACTATGTATTTTAAACTGTGTGTATGTGTATATTTGTAATTATTTTAAATATCTTACCTACATTTCATAACTTTATTTTTAAAGTGGAATACAACTGGAAGAAAATGGAGTACAATAATGTAAGAGTATATACAAAGTGGGGAAAAGGTAGGTTTATAGTTTGTATGGAAAATAATAATAACAAATAATAAACAAGAATAAACTGTGTTTCACATTGTCACAACTATAAACCTACTTTTGCCCCACCCTGTATGTTGAGATAATAGGAAAGGAAGAAAAAGAGTTAAAAAGAAGCAAGAAATTTTCAGGAGAGGAAGATCTGATGTGAGGGGAAAGTATAGATATAATTACTTAGGACCTCACTTGATATTTAGTCATTAAAATATTTCATGCCCCTGTGAGTGCCTTCTAGAATCACTACATTTTCATTGTCAAGATTCTCCTCTCAGTGGGATGCTCTGACAGTGGATGCAATGCCTTAGTCTTCTCAGTAATGTCATGGACTCTGAGCAGCTTGACCAGGGTCCCTAGGATTAGGGTACTTCTTAGAATGCAGTCTGCTACCCCAGTATTCTATCAAATGTTGTTTATTTTCTCCTACAAAGTCCAGGCTCATCCTTCAAGAGTCAGTCATACTAATCCTCTGGTTGAAGACATTACCTAACCGTATAAGATGTATACTCTTCCGTTTCCAGTGCGAAATTATTTTTCCTAATTATTTATTTTGCTTTTCATTACTCACTAATCTGAAACGTGGAAGTGCCTAAATAAATTTACTCTTAGCTATGTTTGTAGTAGTCTACATCTTTGTATCTTCAATTTAAGCTTTATACCAGGTCATTATAATGTCAAAGTAACATGTAGAAAGAATTTAGAAATAATGGAAAGGCTCTGTTAGTCGTGACTTAAAGCTTCAGCCTAAACTCAAAAAATCATATTATCTGTTTCTAAAGGAATATCTCCAAAATAGGAAGACACTTCTCCCAAAGTCTAGACTTTTCTTCAGGGTATCAAGCATTTTTATATAGTGGTCAATTCCTGTTTTAGCTCTGCTGACATTCTTTGGTGGTAGGGAGGTAGGTGGGAAAAAGAATGGACCAGTAATCATTGTGCTTTTCTTACCACATCATAGTGATTTGTTTTTAAGTCTGCAAAATACTGTTTTTATACTGTAGAGGGTGTCTCTCCAAAAATACTTTATCACTTTTGGGCTTTTATTCTAATTAGATTTGAAAATTCATTCCAAAATGAGAAACATTAATATCTACTTTAGAATTTAGTCTTATTTTAATTAAAATATGAAGTAACTTTAATTTTGAAATATTTCTTTGAAAGCGAACAATAAATTTTTGTGTACTACTTTCTAGAAAATAATGGAATTTACCTCTGCATGTTGAATGTGCCAAAAACAAAATAGTGTTTAAAGTTTTGATTTCAACACAAAACATTTCTCCTGACAATCTGTAGTACTACTGGGAGCCCTCAACAGCTCGGGAGATGCTCTTCTGTTTTTTTTCCAATTAGCTACCAGTTAGGTGCTAAGGATATAAAATTCGGAATTGATGTGGACACTGGCCCCCAGTGTCTGAGGCATTATGGATGAGATAAGATAAATTCACACGGACTACTGAGTCCTGTGGAGGAAAAGGGACGGCACAGCTACTCTCTCAAGGGGAGAACACCTTGACCCTTGTCTTGACAGGCTGTTATTGGCTTTCTAATAGCATACATCAAAGAAGGTTCTCATTCATTATACTTAGGTTTGCTTTAGGTAATTACTTTTTACAGATTGCAATGGGAGGGATGTTACTGATTACTTCTTACAGATTAACAAGGAAAAAAATGTTGCAAATGCAAGAGAATGATAAGAGTAACAGGTCTGGTTACACTTCAGTCCTTGGGAGAATTAGCACAGACCTCAGGAAGTTACTTTAAAGATATGCAGTAAGCATTTGCTGCCTGAACTCAGGGTGAGGGAGTTTCAGCAACAGCAAGTCACAAAGCAGCCTAGGTATAATGTAGGCCTGATTTCCCACAGGAGAACAACTTCGTGGGCGTGGTCCTGCATGCCAACTGGCTCCCCACTGGTTTTCCAAGTGGGTGCTGAGCTACATTTCCACGTCTCGCAAAGTGGTTCCCTACAAGGAATTTTATATAATTTTAATAAAGAGATTAGATTACACTCATGAAATGGGAATAGTTGTCTTTATCTTCCATTATATTTTAAAATTATTTTAGAATATAGTCAACTTTTGCGAGTTTTGTTTAAACATACTTTGAAATTTAAAATTACCTTATCAGATTGCACAGTAGTAGGATGGAGGGTTATCTGGTGTAGAAAGTAGTTGACCCTTGGAAAATGTACTGGCTCAGAAAACAAGGTTAGTCGCCTCCTAAGGAGCTTTATCACACTGTGATTTGCACCTTTTGCACAACCCACCCATAAATACATGAGTGATTGTTTCATTGTTTTTTGTTGAATATCCACCTTACAAAACTAAAATTTGCTCTTGTAGACTGAGGTTTATTTTACTTTAAGTGTCCATTTAAGAATAGCCTGGGGACAGGAACGCGAGCTTGGCAATGCGTTTTTACTTTGACCTTCTCCGCCCTCGCCTTTCTTTAGGAGTTGATCCCCCTCATCCTGTGTACAGCGTGCCTGCACCCTGAGCCTAAAGAGAGAGATCAGCTTCTCCACATACTTTTCAATTTGATCAAGAGGCCAGATGATGAGCAAAGGTCGGTATGTCTACTTCTTTGGGAAACACAAAATTAATTCTACTCCTTTGGCATCAGAAGTCGCCCTTTAATCCAAAGGCCTTCCCCGTGCCTGTCGTAATGCACAGGGAACACTGGCCCTGTTCACAGTGCCCTGCAGTTTGTCATTCTTGTTAGCCCAGTTACTTGTGCTGAAGTGTACATTTCTGTGTCAGCTACCTTAGGACTTCTAATTCAGATATTTCTTTGCCTTTATCTTCATGTGTGATTTCTAAGAAGGCCTAAATATCTACCCAGTGGCCTCTTAAAAGAGTTATACTTTACAAGAAATAAAATATGTACTATATGAATTTTCGCATCACTGGGTCTCTTTAAACCAGTTACTGTGTGGCGAAGGGGATACAGTGCCTTTTTTGTTTGTTTGTTTGCTTGTTTTGTTCTGAGACAAGTGCCCACAACCAGGGATGCCTGAGTGGAGGAGTAAGCAGTACCCGAGTGCGGTGAGGGGAAGACGCACACGCATCAAGGCCACTCTCCTAAAGCCTGGGGGAGGGGACTTGATCAAGTGTCAGTCGGAGAGTGACCCTGTAGGGAGGAGGTGGCGCTGTCCCAGCGTCAATGTGGCAGAACACCCTGCAGGCTGGCAGGTGGGCTCTGCACCAGTGGACAAATTTCAGCCAAAGGATGTTTGCTTATACTTTTCCAAAACAATGGAATTATATTTTCTGATTAGATAAGTTTATGTAATTTCAGTACCTGTTTATACGTCTTCTGAGAATGCTGGAAAATTATAAGTATGAACTATATATAAAACAAATCAAGCTTAAAATTTAAAATACAAGGAATCTCTCAGTGAAAGTTGAAATGAAATAGTTATATAGACTTAAAAACTCTGTAAGTATACATCTCTTTCCTGCTCTTTCCAAAATATATCTGAGCAAGTAGAGAAACATCTCCTTTGCAGGATCCAGTCAGGATGCTGGTCAAATAGAAATAAGGAAAATTAAACCACTGTATTAGGATCATTCACTGCAAACTGAAAATGTTCTAAGGACAATTTGATGGTGCTGTACAGGAGAATTAATATTATATTTTTCTCCTTGAAAAATATTATTCTCTATCTTGGTAACAAAGGGCCAGGCTTCCAGGTCTGAAGCCCATTTTCATGCTCTACATTTGCAGCTGAGCGCTGCCACCTGCTGGCCGAAAGTAGCTTGGCAGAAACGCGGCAGGAATGAATTCAGCGCTTGTGTCCACACTTAAATCTGTAGCTTACAGAAACATAATTATTCATTAAAATAGTCTCATTAACTGACCAATTATGTCTAATGTGAGTAAGAAATTTAAAAAGCAAAAGTTTTAAGTTGGCATAATACGTTTGACATATAATCAGTTGTCCCTTTTTATTGCTTTATGAATCTCAGGCATCTTTGATCAGATCCTAAGAAAAACTTAATTTTATGCTCAGTAATGGTGCTTTTGGCCCGTTCTTTGCTAACAGCTGTAACTGACACCACATTTTTAGCTTTGTCAAATACTAGGCAGACAGTCCCCTGTGATTTTCTACGAGTAGGAGCATCTGTTTCTAATGCTGTTAATAATCTGTAAGCCATCTGACTTTCTATTTTCAGCTGTATTTCAAAGCTGTCATATTTTTAGAATTTTTAATCTGAACTGTGCTAAGAAGTTTGTTTTGAGGGGCCTTACGTTATTTCAACAGTTTGTATATCTCTAGTATAATGATGGTAACTCGTGACTTAAAGTCATTGCATGTGAAGGTTTTATACAGTGTGTACTTCTTATAAATGTTTGACATGCTTAAACTTCACCAAGGTTCATTTATTATAATTACCAAACATTTATGGAACCTCTCCATTACTCCTCATTATTTTAAGACACTAGAGGTATTAGGAAATTTTCCTTGGGGAGCAAGCAGCTAAAGTAATGTATGTAAAGCTTGGGAATTTCTTTTTACACCTTCCTTTTATTTACTTTATTTGCCTTCTAAAATAAAAGGAAATTAAAAAGCAAGGGAAAGTTGAGAAATAGGCATAGAAGAGAATGATACAAATGTAAGGGAAATCGGGTCATTGTGAGGTTGTGGGGGGAGGAAGCTGCAGCACAGTGGAGACACGCTGGCCCCGCCCTCCTCTGGGTGCCGCCCACACGCCCCGCCCCACTCCCACTCTCCTCCTCTGAGAGTCGTAGCGTAGTCATTCCACAGTGCGAGTTAAATTGACATGGTCTGAGAAACGGCAGTGAGCACTGTGTGGGCTTAATGTGCTGATTTCATCGTTAACATGAATTAAACATTTTATTTTGGTTTGCCTCGAAGTTGGATACTTAAACTATCTGTTGAAAACATACTTCCCCACCCCCCAATCAGGTTATACTGTTTTGAAATCTTAGACAAAGTGAAAAAACTCACAATTTTTCATTTCTAGTCATTTTAAGTGGAACTTAATTCTGAAGAGAAAAATCTTATTTAAAGTTTTAATACTTTAATACTTTAAATAACTTATTTAAGTTCAAGTGAAGTTATTGTATTAGTTATTTATATATTGCTCTGTAAAAAATTACTCCAAAAGAAAGAGTTTATAACAAATTCATTTTTATGATATGACTTATGCGGGTCAGTGAATTTGGATCCCCTGCCCCAGGGTCTCTCACGAGGCTGTGACCGAGGTTGTGTTAGCTGGAGCCATCGTCATCCCCAGTGTCACCTGGGCAACGGCTTGCATCTCAGCTCGCAGCCTTGACTGGCCGGGGCAGGCCAGTCTGTCATAGGTCTTGGGACAGAGGGCCTCAGTTCCTCGGGCCTTTCGGTCGGAGGCTGCCTTCAATTCCTTGCCACACAGGCCCCCAGAGAGCATGGTCCTGCATCAAAGCATGTGAGCTAAGAAGGCGTTAGAGAGTCCCGCAGGCCGGACATCACAGACTCTGTGGCTTCTAACCCAGAAGTGATGCCCATCACCTTGGCTGTCGTCGTGTCCATTAAAAGCAGATCCCTAGGCACCGTCTGCACCAAGGATGTGGACATTAGGAGACGGACGTCGTTGGGAGCCACATCGAAGCTGCCTAGTGCCATTTTACTAATTTGACACCACAGTTTGTAATTAGAGAAGTGCTGGGGTAGCAGTCACTGATAGTTTTAGTGGCTGCAAACAGAAGTTCGGTAGGAGCTGAAGCACTGGACATACGCACGCCCTCAGAATGCATATGTGGGAAGTTAAAGTAGCAGGTTATGAGTTTCAGCTTCACACCAGCAGAGATGCCCTTCGTACCATGTGTCGCAAACAGAGCTGCCACTGGAGGAACTCGTCATGAGGGGTTCGCTCTCTCGGTGGAGCCTAGTCCATCATTGGAAGTGTGTCTTGCTTGTACGAAAATATTGTACTTCGTGTGAATTGCATAGCTGACTCTTGAACCCTTAGTCCCAGCTGTGCTTCCTAAAGTGAGGGCAAGTCCTCACGCGTTTGTGTCACTTTCAGGCAGATGATACTGACGGGCTGTGTGGCGTTTGCACGTCATGTCGGACCAACGCGTGTAGAAGCGGAGCTTTTGCCGCAGTGCTGGGAACAGGTGAGTTACTGTCAGGGTTTCCTTGGTGGTTCTGTTCTACGTTATCATAAACGTTCATGTCTTTTTCAAACGCCACTAGGAAATACACGGGGTCTGAATTATGCTGCTGTTTGTATAGCCCAGTGCTGTGAGTTCATAGTGCCAAGAATGCTCAGGGATGCTTTACACTATTCATTCTTCCAACAAAAACTTCAGAAACATTAGTTCCAGTGCTAGGGGTACAGTGGGGAATAAAACACAGTGACATCCCAGTGGGAAGATAAGAGAAAAACAAATCAGTGTTTTCTTGGCATTTTGTAGTGTTACAAGCCAGAAAGAAAATAAAGCGGGGAAGGGGAAGGGAGTGATGGGGGGAATGCTGTTTGGAAAGGGTGGTCAGAGAAGGAATCTCTGAGGAAGGGATGTTTAGGCAAGGATGCGAATGAAGTGAGATCCTGCAGATATAAAAATACAAAATGAGATGGGAGAGCACCTGATGAGTTCAAGGGAGAGCAAGGAGGTGTGTGTGTGTGGGGGCGGGTAGGTAGGTAATAGAAATAATATCTTATATATATTATATACTTCTATATATTAAGATACAGAGAGAAGGTAAAGTGTAAACCCTTGATTTAGGAGGCTCTGGTATTTAATTCAACTCATCATTTATGAATAATACTTTGGTTTTATATTGAATGTTAATATTCCAGTTCACTCTGGAACTGAGAATCTTGACTTTCTAGACTTGATGTTTAGGTCATTGAGGAGCTTATTTTTTCATCTTATAAAGATGGATTTCTTATTTATGAAGGTAAATTTCATGACCTTATTTATAATAGTATGGTCACTTACTCTTAAAAAATATATTGGTGTCTGGAATATCACTGAAATATATGGTCCTTTAGAACTCTGTTACAATTTTCTCGAGTATTTTTTTAAAATTTTCTGGAGTCATCTGGATTAAGTATGTAAAGTAAACATTATATATATAGTCATACTTATCTCTGATAGTTTAATGTTATCTATAGATTATGGTACTCGCTAACTTAAGGCGAGATTTTAATCACTGAAAGTCAAATTAACTTGAAAACAACACATACAATTCTATACAGTTATTCATATGTACACTTAATTTTTTAATAATTATTTTACATTTTTAAGCTTTATTAAGGTACAAATCATATATATAATTTACCCATTTGAAGTATACAATTCAGCGTTTTTTAGAATATTCACAGAGTTTCACAACTGTCACCACAATCAATCTTAGAACAGTTTATCACCCCAGCTACAAACCCCAAGCCCTCGAGCTTGGTGTTCTCATAGTTCTCATTGTTTTGCCTATTCTGGGTCCCTTTAATTTTTATATGAATTTTAGGATCATCTTCTCAGTTTCTGCAAAGAAGCCAGCTGGAATTTTCATGAGGGTTGCATTCAGTCTGTAGGTCATTTTGGAGAGTGTTGCCATCCTAATCGTAGAGAGGTGTCCAGTCCATGATTCGGGATGTCTTTCCATTTATTTAGGTCTTAAATATTTTTGACAATGTTTTTGTAGTTTTCAGAATATACTTTATGTATGTTTTTGTTTAATTTATTCCTAAGTATTGTCTGTTTGTTGCTAATATATAGGAATACATTTGTTTTTTGTGGGTACATTTAATTTGAAGACTCACTGAGCTAGACTGGAGAAAAGTAAAATGGAAGTTATGTAGGGCATACTGTAGCATTCACACCTTTCTACTTTGCAGTTACTACTTCTGAATTGAATTCAGAGATGTCCGTTCTAAACATCCCTGCCACCACCTCTTCTGTAACATGACTGGACATGGATATCGGGGGTCTGTCTAGCTGCCTACCTCCAGGTTGTTGCCCAGTAGATTGCTATATAATTTCTTTTCTTAATTTCAGGCATCCAATACTTTAATGAATTATGTCACCTTTTCATATGGGAGTATGAGAACAGATAAACTTCTTTTGCAGTCACAGAAAGATTTATATTCTATGAAGAAGACACATAGGAACAAAACCCAGTATGTGTCGTTTTGTTTTGTTATATTTTCGTTGTGGGTCAGTGTCGTCATCACAGCAGCAGAGCCCCCTCGTCATGCACATGCAAACACAGACGGACTGGGGACAGCTTACTGTAAAAACGAAATCTCACCCCTGCTCAGGGGCTCTGCTCAAATCATTGATGAACTCACTTCCTAATCCCTTGGGTAAAAGTGAGTGCCAGTGAGTCATTCCTGCCATGTGTTACAAACCACATCTGTAATATTCAGAACCTGGGTTTTCTAAGTGTAAAAACATACCAGTGTTTCTGCGGAAGGAGAGCCTTGTCCCCAACAGTCAGGAAAGCCTGGTCTTAGGCAAGCGCACCATGGACACCTTGCCGAATTTTCATCCTGCTTCATCCTTTTTGCTTCAACAGGTAACCCCTGTGAGCACGTGTTTCGGGGTTTCCCTGGTCTCCTTATTCCTGATCCAGGTGTACACAGGGATTTCCAGAAGTGGAAAAGGAAGGAGCTTGATTGCATTCTTAAGTGGCTTTGTGGTGAAAAAGAATGATCTTTCAGAGGAAGAGAGACTATATTGTTGACGCTTGGTTTCCTTTTTACTCTAGATTAATCACAAATACCCAGAGAGACGGCTGCTCGTGGCAGAGTCCTGTGGAGCCTTGGCACCGTACCTTCCTGTAAGAGTTGTCCTTTTTTTCTTAAAACCTTTTTTCTTTTTAATAGTAGAGAAACCTTTTTTCAAGTGTCTTACACATTTTAACCCAAATTTTCCCATGGCCTGCTGTCCCAATGAAAGAAAAGTCCAAAGAAAATGGTCGCATTGGTACAATATGGCATTGCAGACACTAACCACTGATTCTGCATGAGTGTCAATACATAAATCAACTTGTTTCAGCGGTTCTCAAAGTGTGGTCTGAGCACCTTGAGAGGTCTCTTGGCACTCTTTAAAAGAGGTCTGTCAAGTGGCAGTGATCTTCATAACAGCATTAAAACAGTTTTGTCTATTTCTCTGCTGACATGTACAGTGTCGGTGCAAAAGCTGTAATGGGAGCCAGTGCCGGTGCACAGACACCAGTCAGGGCAGGGACTTCCGCGAGTGCCCCCTGGCCCCTGGCCGTCTCCTCCAGAGATGCCCGCCTCGTGGCAGTAGTGCTTAATGCGTACAGGAAGGAAGCATCTGTGCTCTTACCAGTTCGCATTGTCATGTATGTTCTTTAAAATTTCCTCGCCCAACATTAATTCTATGATACATTGTGTTGTGTATCTCCAACAGTAAACCCTAGTTACAGGTTCTCGTTTGGGTGTCTGTGTATTTTAAAAATGTCTCATACTGTTAATACCTCTACAGCTTGCTGCTGTCAGCACTTGCGTTTTCGATTTTGATAGTGTTAAACTTCCCCTACCAGGGTAGCATGGACTTCAACTTTCATCAGCAGTACCTTGGCGTTCTTATTTTCCTACCTTTCACCAGAAACTGGGCATGAAGAAAATTTTTTAATGTTTTTCTATCTTATAGGGAAAAGTTGGTATATTATTGTTATATAAAGCCTGTATGTAAGGTATACATGAGTGAGTCTGAGCATCCTGTAATTCATTGTTCCACGATGGAGGTAAACACACACGCTGACAAAGGACAAGGAAACTGCCCCACACTGCTCCTAATCCTGGGATGCTAAGCAGGGTTAATGACAGACAGTGTCTCCTCCATGGGTCTCCGGTTGCCCTGTACCCACTGTAACTGGTAATAGTAAAGTCTCAGTGTGGTCATGGCTTTAAATGAAGTAATACCTCCTGAGTTGTCCTGTGGGTTCCTTGTGGCATACTGAAACTAACTGCCACCGTCGACCTCAGCCCAGGTCAAAGTGAAGGACAACCTAGCCGAAATGTGTGTACCTCAGTCGTAAGGCCCATGCTGATACCACGTAAGAAACTAATTTTTAAATCAGTCTTTGAGTTAAGATATTTTAAAGTATTTGAGGGGAGGGGGCAATTTTTAGCCTAAACGATAAATAAACAAAGCTGTACCTAAAAGTATATTCACCAACCTAAATGTGACTAAACTTTGCCAAAGTTACATATATTTTTGTTTCTAAAAAGTCAAAACAAAAACTAGGGGACTTAACAAAAACTAGGTAACCTCTGCATACCAAATCACACTGTACATTTATGAAAATGATCACATCTTTTTATTTCTATTTTATTCTAACCATCATATGTAAAAAGGACCTAAACAAGTTTTGGTTTAAAGAATTGTTATAAATTAATCAAGTTACAATAATAGTACAAAGAAGGAAAAGAAGAGCAAGACTTTGTAAAATGATGGCTTAGCCATCACTCGCAGTAAGCCATTAACATTCTTTACTGTAGAAAAAAATGTGTGAAATTAAGACACAGCAGTGGGTGACATCATATTAAATAGTAGCATTTGAACATGCCAGTGCAATTCTTGTTAAAGCACTTTTCAGGTTTACTCTCATATTTTATTATCCTTATTGAATTTTTTTCAGTTCTTCAAAAAATAGAAACTGTATGATTTTGTAATGTTTCCACAGTCTTACTTCAGGCAAATGCTTTGATCTCCAGAGTGCCTTTTGTAACCCCCCTATTGTTACACCTCTGAGCACCTTGCTCTGAGCAAACAGGCGGCTTGACAGAAGTCATTGTCCAGTGATAGCAGCAGAGGGTTGACTCTGGTGACTTGCCAGAAGCGCCTGCCCCTGCACCGCCTGTAAGGGTTTGCACACACTCGGCAAAGATATAAAACACGCCTGGAGGTGATTATCACAGATGCATCGCAGAGGTGTTACCTTCAGAGAGGTAGGGAGAGAGCGGTGTGGTGCTTGAGTGTACTTGTAACGTCCTGTCTTTGAAAAATGAGGACTTGAGGCAACTCCAGTGAATATGTGGATGTCTGTCACCTTTTCTGTATTTTTCTGCTGGGGGTGTAAATAAACAGCAAAAAACTTTTGTGCTTATTTTCAGAAAGAAATCCGTAGCTCCTTGGTTCTTTCAATGTTGCAACAGATGTTAATGGAAGATAAGGCAGATTTGGTACGAGAAGCTGTGATCAGAAGCCTCGGTATCATTATGGGGTACATTGATGACCCAGACAAATACCAACAGGTGTGTTTTTCAGCAGGAGCCCCATTCACTTCGTGTTAAAAATCCCAGGTGATGTTCCAAGTCTGATTCAGATGGCCTGCACCCTCCAGCAGGGATGGCAGTTGGGTCAGCCTTGACCAGTCGGAGCTGGCTGCCTGGTTTCAGTTCTGCAATTCAGAAGAAAGGATGCTGTGACTCATTTGCACAGGAAACTGGCAGCAGGCCTGCAGTTCCCCCCCTTGCTCCTTTGTTTCCTTGCCAATTTATACATGAGCTTTTCTTCAAAGAAAACAGGAAGTATAGGATTATAGATGGCTTTCTTTCTTAAATTGTTTTCTGAAGGTGCTGCAGTTGTGTATTTATTGTTTTTCATTGCCTTTTTAAAGTTTATTCTCTGAAAAAATTACATTTTGCCTGTTTTGGGTTGGTTTTTTTTTTGTCATTGTTGCTATTTTGGCAGGGTTTTGAATTGCTGCTGTCAGCTTTGGGGGATCCCTCGGAAAGAGTAGTCAGTGCAACACATCAAGTATTTTTACCGGCTTATGCTGCCTGGACCACAGAACTTGGGAATTTACAGTCTCATCTGATACCCACGTTGCTGAACAAGATTGAAAAACTTCTCAGGGTAAACACTTCCTTTGTTTATATAGTTGATAGAAAATTAAAATGTGTGTTCCAGGGCATCTTAACAGAATATTGGGGAGCAAGACAGAAAGTACCACTTAGCTGAGCGTCCTAATAAACTGCCAAAAAAGATTCTGTTGGGCTGCAGCCAGGAGAGGTTTGAGGAAGCTCCGCCTTGTGGCAGCTGCAGGAGAAAGGTCGCGGGTCTGAGTGCCAGGCGGAAAGGCGCCTCCATGGGGCTGCTCCTTGGGCGCCAGGGCACTATTGGCAAAGCTAGCACTTCCTAGCCTTCTCTGAAGACTTAAGTATTTTAGCTAAAGTATCAACTGCAAACCCAAAATGCAGAGGTAATCACAGGAGGAGTCTCACAAGCGTTCTTATTTACATTTCCTCACTGTTTAAAATGAACTCTTCATTCTTTCCAAGTAAAAAAAATGGGAAAGTTAAAGAAACAATTGAAACCTCTTGACGTAATTTTTGTACTAAAAGTTTGAGTCTAGAAAAAAACCTAACATTCCACTAATGCCTTTTATATGCTACTGAGGTAGTACTTTATATATGCAATATATTATTTCATGTGGAAACCAGTGTTTCAGCATCTTGGGGTTCCGTAGCTGTCAAATGACGGAACCAAGATCTGATATCTGTCTCTGACTTCAAACTCTTGTTCTTTCTACACCCAAATTTGAAAGGCTGTGTAAGGCTCTTAAATAAAGCATTGTAAGAGCTCTGCCAGTGGATATATACATATATTAAGATTCAACTTTTTTCTATAGATTTCTGAGTATTAAAGCAAAACTCTAAGTAGACAACTAGAGTAAACTATTCCTCTTTATGAAACCTAGGGAATTTTTTGAAGTACTTTTTAAGAAAATGTTTGCATTCCTTTTTAGAGTTATCCATACCTGGCTTTTCTTGTTCCATTTTGTAACACGGCTAATTTCACATCGCTACGTGTCTGCAGTTTTCATCATAGACAGTAGCTCTTCAGTGAAGAAATTAACTTGGAACTTGGTGGTGAATGACTCATCTGTCTGACAGAGTTATTTTAAAATGTAGTAATGACATCTCAGTGGGTTTGAATAGCAGTAAATGCTGTCATCTCTGTCAATTCTAATTTTACTTAAACATTTGGTTGAATGTTAATACTGAACCTCCTCATTTTTTTTCTTTCTCTTACCTTTCTTTTCTTTGCCTTTGCAATGTCTTCTCCATGTTCTCTCTGCGTTCAGTTGTCTTCACCTGTTTCCATGCCCTCAGCTGGAGGTGTGGCCAACTCTGTAGGCGCAGGGGAGGGGAAGGTGTGAGCACTGCTGCTGGTGTAGCCGGCGAGCGAGCGTTTGAAACACTTCCTGTGGCTCCCTTCAGTCTTTGTCCTGACTCAAGAGAAGTTCCAAACATCTCAGTGGGAATGATCGGTGGTCACCCCAAGGCTCTCCGTGTAAAGATTCTAGCACCTTCAACACATCTTCACGTGCTTAGAGAAATCGCGATTCGCAGACATCCCCATTTAGGTGTTATGCTATGAGCCTAATATATAGATCCTCAAATGTTTTATTCTTTGCCACAGAAAGGAAGAGCATTATAAATACATCATTTCAAAAGACTAAAATGAGCTTCCACCTCCTTGTGTTTCAGGAAGGAGAACACGGGCTGGACGAGCACAAGCTGCACATGTATCTTTCTGCCTTGCAGTCCCTGACCCCGTCTCTCTTTGCGCTGGTGCTGCAGAACGCACCTTTCTCCAGCAAGGCCAAGCTGCAGGGCGAAGTGCCGCAGATAGAAGGTACTGAACCGAAATCGGAGAGGGGGATGTGGAGCATCAGAGCTTAGCTTCCCAAAGAACTGCTTTTGATTAAAATTTTTAAAATCACTCTACGTGACAGCGTAATTACTAAACGTATACACATACACGTATGTGGAACTTTGTGGTCGTGGACCTGACATAAATTATATGCCTTCATCTTTTTATCCATTCTTATCATGGTATTGTTTTATAATTTTATACCTTCCATTCTCAACCTGTAATTTTTTTTGCAACCTTGTTTTCAGTGGCAGAAGTGTTTTCTTTCATTAATAGAGCTGAATCAATTAAAAAAATCTGGTGCCAGTTTATGAAGCTTTTCATTTCCACTTTTTTAATCTTTTTCCTTCCCCAGCTGTTCCATCTGCTTTGGGGGAAGATGCATGTATTACTATGTCCTTGAAAAGAATATAAGCATATGTGGCAGAATTTTCTTTTTTTCTCTCCAAAGAAAGAATATGACTTATTTTTAGAAATATGTGAAATTGACCGCAAAAGCCACTATTTTCCAATGTCAGTGTCCAGCTAATCAGTAAGTGACCTTCGACCCACGGCACTTGGTGACCCATGGACCCTCTCCCCAGGGTAAAGGGTCACAACAAGCTGCCACTGTGTATGAGGCTCCTGTGCAGCTTTTTCAGATTCGTGAAGTTGTCTGTGCCTCTTACTGCCTTCTGAGTCACAAAAGGATTATAACATTGAGAACATCAGCAGACACTTAATTTTTTAGAACTGCAGCTTTCATATGAAAAAAAAAAAAACTGCGGGATACCTGTACTGTTGGGAATAGGAAGCACTGTGTCCAGCAACACACAGAACACAGCTAAAAATGGTGTGTGCGTGTGAATGTCAGTTTTACACAGAAAACTGAATATGGGTGGGGCAGACTTAAGTATTTTAAAAGGATACCGGTGAGGAGAATGAACACTCATACCTCACGGTAAGCCTGCACTGAGCACACACAGTGGGTCCCTTCAGGTTCTGCCCCTTCTTCACGCACGAAGCCACTTCATCTGCTTCGGGACTTTCCTGTCTTCTCATTTCCTCTTTTTCTTTCTTCCTGCAGTAAGTGTTGACATACCTATTTTACTTTTAACCATTCCATTATTTTTCAATAATTTGCCACTATTTTTGAAGAGACAGTATTATTTTTACCATAGTATAGCAGATTGTAGCCAGTAGTTTGAAAGTATGTCAGACCTGCTGTGATGTGGTGGTATATAAATATGAAGTACAGATACTCAACACACCCAAATCTGATTGATTCCTGGGTCAAGGTAGTGAGAATTAAAGCAGAAGCCTCAGATCCTGAGGAATACCGTGCTACTCAAATTAGTTTCTTTGTTTATGTCTTACGATAGCAGATGGGTGAGTTCAGCCAGCAAGGGATGACCTTTGTCTGTTCTCAATGTGTTGTATAGACCCTTGCACAGTATAGGCAAAAAGCATGACATTTTAATACCGTCTTTGAGCATTTAAAAAATTTGTGTATTTCATGTTTTCTTAATTTTTAATTATCATTAACTATTAATATGTTTTGAGAAAATGCAGTCCCTGGCTTGTATGGCTTAGTGGATTGAGTGCCAGCCTGTGAACCAGAGGGTCTCCAGTTCGATTCCCAGTCAGAGCACATACCTGGGTTGCGGGCCAGGTCCCCAGTAGGGGGCACGTAAGAGGCAACCACACATTGATGTTCTTCTCCCTCTCTTTCTCCTTCCCTTCCCCCATCTCTAAAAATAAATAAATAAATAAAATCTTTTTAAAAGAGAGGGAGAAAGTGCTGCATCTTTATTTGTGTCTTTATAGGGTGTTAGTCTCTGTGCAGGAATAGTTGGGCCATTGGGAGTTTCAGACCAGCAGGTAATGAGCTGTTGGCGTGCACCGCTCACTACAGAGCCTTCCAAGAAGCGTTTCCTTAGTCACCTGGGACCCAACAGTGATGTGTAGGATCATAAGTCCAAACTTTAAATATAGTGATGTACATTGATGTTTTATTTACATAATTTAAGAAATAATCTTAAAAGTATATACATGAGACTCTAGTTAATAATATTTCTTAAAATATTGATTTTAGCCCTGGCTGGTGTAGCTCAGTGGATTGAGCGCAGGCTGTGAACCAAAGGGTTGCAGTTTGATTCCCAGTCAGGGCACACGCCTGGGTTGAGGACCAGGTACCCAGTAGGGGGCATGCAAGAGGCAACCACGCACTGATGTTTCTCTCCCTCTCTTTCTCCCTCACTTCCCCTCTCTCTAAAAATAAAAAGAAAAAATACTTTAAAAATAAATATTGATTTTAGAGAGAGGGGAGAGGGAGAGAGAAAGAGAGAGAACCATCAATTTGTTGTTCCATTTATTTATGCATTTGTTGGTTGGTTCTTAGATGCGCCCTGACCAAGGATCGAACCTGCAAGCTTGGCATATTAGGATGATGGTCTCACCAACTGAGCTACCTGGTCAGGGACTTAGTTAATAACATTCATAGTAATTATGTCTTATCTTACTGCTTACTGGTTTTAGTACTTTATATTAACTTAATGTTTATCAAGTGTGAAAATTTTTTAAATAAAGCATTTAGTATTAGAGACTAAATACTTAGATCTGTTCAGCTCAAGCTTTATTGTATTTTATATCATTATTTTTTGGTATTAAATAATCTTTTCCCTGCTCTTAGCCTATTAATTTATTATTCCCCAGAAGAAACATTTTAATGTATTTATTCTTTCATTGACATAAATAGTGTGGTGGAATTAAAGGTGTATCTGCTTTTTTATACCAGATTTAAATCCATATTTAGCTAAGATCTTATCTCTGGGCCAATTTTCATCTAAGCTAAATAAAATTTTACTGTTCATTGGCAAACTAATTCATTATAGCATTCATTTATAACTATTTAGTTTCATAAATCTTAATTTTTGAGATTTTTTTTTCATTTGTTTAAAATTTGTGATTTTTTTTTAAAAGACTTTGTTTTTAGAGCAAGGGGAAGGGGGAGAGAGAGGGAGGAAACATCAATGTGTGGTTGCCTCCTGCGTGTCCTACCAGGAACCTGGCCTGCAACCAGGCCTGTGCCCTGACTGGGAATGGAACTGGCAACCCTTTGATTCACAGGCTGGTGGTACTCAACCACTGAGCCACACCAGGCAGGGCAATTTTTGAGATTTTTAAATGGGACAAAAAATTACTTCTTTTTTTTCTTTTTTTCTTTTTTTTTTTTTTCAGAAAATGATTTTGTTAATTTATCTCAGTGTCATATTTAAAGTTTATAAGCTAAATTAGCATTAGGAGACAGGACTTTATTTTCCAACTTTCGAAAGTGCCATTTTCTGCATGACATATTTTGTTTTTATCATTTACAGTGACGAGGTTCCCCCGGCCTATGTCGCCCCTTCAAGATGTGTCTACTATTATTGGAAGCCGTGAGCAGTTGGCAGTGCTACTCCAACTTTATGACTACCAGCTGGAACACGAGGGCACAACCGGCTGGGAGAGTTTACTGTGGGTTGTCAATCAATTGTAAGTTCCCGCCTCCCTAATCGTTTGGTTCAGTTGAGTGGGAGATAGCTCACTATATTTAGCCCGGCCTTGAGGGAGAAAATATACCACAATATAAAAAAATAGAATCAGACGTAACTTGGCACCTCTCTGGTCAACTTGTTTGGGAGAGGAGATTCACACCACTGGGTGTGTATTGGTTTGTGTGCAGAGACGGCCCTGCTGTGCCCTGTGAGGAGGGTCTGTCCTCGGCCTTGTTGGTTCACGGTGGTGATGGACTTGAATCCTCACCCTGACTTCTCATTCTGAGGCCTTAATGGAGGCTGGAGGCTGGATTAGCTCAGCTCTTGTGCCAAGCATAAAAATTCATCATTTTCAGTCTCATGAACTCCATACTCAGAATCAGAATCCTACCATTAAAGTTCCATATATTTTATGGCAAGCAGTTAAAATTTATATTAAGAAGTTTAGAGAGTAAAGTGTAAACTTACGATCTTTTCATAGGGGCTCAGACAACTCCTTTGCTTTATAATTTTATTGTCTATGAGAAGCAGAACAGTAGTTATGGGTAGATTTGCATTGTTTCAGCAATTGGCAAGGAAGCAGTGACTTGTATGTGCCCCCGCCTCTTTTCTCTTCGTTCCTGCTCAGGCTGCCACAACTTATAGAAGTAGTCGGCAAAATTAATGTTACTTCAACTGCCTGTGTCCATGAATTCTCCAGATTTTTCTGGCGCCTTTGCAGAACGTTTGGCAAAATTTTCACGAACACTAAGGCAAGTATTTGTATTCCATGTTTTCTAGTATGCAAGCTCCATAAAAATGTAATGTGTTAGTCAGTGCTGTGACTGTAACTGCATGAGCCTTTCCTCTACTCTCTTTATCTTCTAGTATCTTAGAAAATGGGCGTAGTAAATGAAAATCTGGTCGGTAATATTTTTATCTTTATATCTGACCTTCAGAGGATGATTTAGGTTCAGTTTCCTTTGTATTCAGATTTGGACGTGAGACCCACTCACTGTTTCAGCGTAGAAAGTGTCAGCTCGGGAAATCAAGTGCACCCTTTCAATGTGCTTCTGGTACTAAAACCCTTGACTGTCCACACAAATTGGGGAGCAGTTATTTGCTCGGTACACGGCAGTCAAGACCACAGGTGACGTTGGAACCAAAGTGGCTTGTATAGACGAGCTCTTAGCCTAGCATGAACACTTGAGACGATTGCTGCATATTTCAGTCACTACTAAAAGTATTGTTTGTCACATGTGGCTACCCAGGTTATTATGTAGTTTTGGGTATTAAGACTTCAATGTCCTTAGATCTCAATTTCTTATTTTAATCCTGTTACTTCATTTGTCTCCATGGCATATTGTTAAGCCAGTTCTTTAGAGACCTTATAAAAGCATAAAAATGTGTAGTGGCTATAATTAAATGTTAATCAAGACATTTATTTTTATTTATTTAAATTAATTAATTAATTTATTTATTTATTTATCTATCTTTAGAGGGGAAGGAGAGAGGGAGAGAAACATCAATGTATGGTTGCCTCTAGTGCATCCCCTGCTGGGAACTGGCCTGCAGGGAACCAGCCTGCAACCCAGGCATGTGCCCTGACTGGGAATTGAACTGCGATCCTCTGGTTCGCAGGCCTGTGCTCAATCCACTGAGCTACACCAGGGCATAATCAAGACATTTAAAAATTAAGAATTTTGTACAGCTCCTTACTGTTAAATCTGGAATTTCTGAAACACTTAGAGCAAAACAGTTCCATATAGTGGACTAGACAAATTCAGAAAATGGGTTGTAGCTCTGTTTTTTTTGTGACTACATAGTATCATTTATCTGGGCTTAGTCTTTCCATGTGTGAAATGAAGAAACTGCTTGTCTTACCGTTCTTTAAGTATGATTCTGCGGATTCATCTTTAAACACTGATCTTCACCTCAGTTTAACTTCAGTATATAAGTTAATATGCATGACCTGCCAAAAGCAGGGGACAGCCAGACCTTGATATTACTGTAGAAGAAACAAGAATATTTTACCTGTTTTACTAACATCTAATTGTTAAACAAATATAATTTGGTTTTACTATTATCAGTAGTGGCAAAAATTGTTTGGCATCTCCAAAGTAGCTACTTTTTTTTTTTTTAACAACTGTAAGTAAGTGTTCACTTTAGCACTTACCAATAAGTGGTTGACTTCAGTGACCCAAAAATTGTACTCTGTGATGACATTCATAATAAAATATTGAAACCAGCATTAGCTCTAACTTCAGATATTTAAGTGAAATTCAGTATTTGACATTTACATTTAAATTTTAAGGAATTTAAAATAAAAAACTAATCTGAACAACTGGATATCACATAATGAATATGTTACTTATTACATACTTTGAATGAATGCCATTTCCATTTCTTTTAAATACAGCAAATGTTTTTTTCAATAATTTTGATCATATAATATCTACCTAAATAACCTTTTCTGTCATTAGGCTTGGTTTTAGGAGGTAATGATTTTTAAGCCTTTAAAATCATCTTGGAAATTACTTTAGTGAAGGAAACCAAAGGCTTTTCAGAAAATACTTGGTGACCTTAACTGATTTTTAAAATATTTTATCTCTTAAAAGTATTATTTTTAGTAACTTGAATCCACATTTATCGTAAGCCACTTAAGAACTATTACATTTCTAAAAACTTCAATGGTCTAAAGTAAAATAAGTAAATAAATATAGACTAGCAGTAAACATTTTATTTATTTACTCATCAGTTGGTCCATGAACCTGAGACTTTTTGGATCTTTCTTTGGGTTGCTTAGGTAAAACCTCAGTTCCAAGAGATTTTAAGATTATCTGAAGAGAACATTGGTAAGTTTATTACTTTTAAAAGCAATTGAATCTCTATTCATGAAAAGTACTGTTTTCATTATATGCAAACTGTATAAGTTAACGAGCAAGTAGAGTTGGAAAGGAAACCTACACTGCAGAGCGCTTGCTTGTACAACTGTGTCACATCCGGTGGCCATCTCGCCAGGTGGCAGTGAGACGCACCTGCGGTTTTTAGAGAAACTGTGGGCCTGACCGGGCAGCTCAGCTCTTCACTCCCTTGTTTCAGGGAGTCTGGTTGTGGCCCCACTGGCCCAAGAGCTGGTTCATTTGTGCATCTAGTGTCCCTGTGGATTTTTCTCATTTTTAGGGATAAACTGTGGGATCTGTTAGGGGAAAAGTGTATGGCATCCCCCCCCCTTTTTGGGTGTTTTTTTTTAAGGTACAGATCAATAATTTTCAACCTTTTTAATCTCATGGCACACATAAACTAATTACTAAACTTCTGTGCTACACTAAAAACATATTTTGCTGATCTGACAAAAAAATTAGGTACCATGTTTTACCATGTATAAGGCATACTCACATTTTTGGCCCAAACTTTCAGGAAAAAAATTTTTTTGTTTTAATTTTTAAATCAATTATTTGTTTATATTTAGAAACAATATCGATTATTATATTCCAATTTGCATATTTGATATCATTATTACTTTCTAGAATTACACTTTCAGTGCTTGAGCATAAATAAAAGAGTGGAAAACATACACAGAGATACAGAATCAGTACTACCCATGTATAATGCGCATCCTTATTTTTCCCTCAAAAATTTGGGCAAACATGTATGCATTGTATACAGGAAAATACGGTATAATTTCACTTCATTCATACCAGACTTGTTGTTTTGGCTGTTGTCATTTTTTTATATGACAATGTAAAGAAAAAGAGGTCAGTGCCTCTGATTAAATTGTCGAGTATTGCACGTTTTAAAAATTCTTGTGGCATACCAATTGAAAATCCCTGGTACAGATAATTCTTATCTCAGTCCTACAGTAGTGATTTCATATGAGTGCTTTAGAAAACTCTTTCTCTCTCAGATGGAGTTACAAAATGAATAAGTCCTTTTACATTTGAAAACATTGATGAGGTTTTCTTTTTGACAAACACTTCCCCAAGTTTATATTTAATAGTTTCATAAAGAATTAACTTGGAATGCCTAATAGTTGGTGTTATCTTTTAGCTAATTATTAATTTTGATAAGTTAAGAATATTTACATATTTTAGAAACTCACAAGTTTTATAATTATTAGCTATGAATGTTTAGCTATTCCGATAGGAAATGATTACTAATCCCTGTATACACAGGTCATAACTGTGAATTCAACTCAAGCTTATGTTCCTAGCCTCAGATTTACCCCGTAACTATACCATATTCACACTCAAGTAACACCAGTAGCCCCTCAAAGGGAAAAATCACTCTTACCAAGAGCGTAAACAGATCTTGAATACTAATCGATAAGAAATTGGAACTTTCTTTTTTGCTAAAATTCCTTCAGGACAGTTAGGTAATACACCTTTTCCAACTCTGTTTCTTTATGAAGAGAATTTAAAATCATATGAAGATAGGAAATAGACTAATAAAAATACTTTTAGCGCATGAAAGAAAATATAAAGCATTTGAAACAGTGCTTGACAGTCAGTAAGCCAGGGTTGTTGGTGCTGCACAAATAGGAATGTCATATCACCTCTGGAACCTTTCTTTTGAAATCATCTGCAGATGATGCACTAAAACATCTGACTTTCCAGGAGTCACGGGGCACTCGTCTGTGGTTGGATGCTTTCCCCTCCCCCTGCTGTACTCGGCCTGGCTGAAAATCTCTGTAGAGGATGCAGGAGGGGCCTCTGGGTAATAATTTATGCCTAGGCACCTCCTGTACGTTTTATGGAGTACTACAGATTGAAAGCATAAACATTTAGGAAGACCTGCTTATACTTGGGGCTCTCATAAAGGAAGCTCTGATTTCTGATTATGGGAACAGGAGTATAGGATCTCAGTTTGGTTTTTAAAGTTTTTTCCCATCTATGAAAAATTCTTATGCGAACAGCTTTTTAAAAAGTATTGTTACAATTTTATGACTAGTAGACATGTGTTTTAATCAGTTATTTTTCAAAGTAATGCTTATATTTATTTATAATCCTTGTCACCATTATAATTTTAAATATAATTTGCATTGTGAATTTTTGCTTTGCATTTAAATTATACTTGAACTTAAAAATTATTTTAATAATTTTAGATTCCTCAGCAGGAAATGGGGTCCTCACTAAAGCCACCGTCCCCATTTATGCAACGGGAGTTCTTACGTGTTATATTCAGGTAAGGGCAAAAATCCTTTGACTAGAAAATGTAAAGGTACTTTCTTTTTAGAATGATACCTGATAATATGTCTTTTTATCATGTGTGTAAGTGAAAATGTTACCCATCAAGGAAAACAAAGTTTATTTATTCTCTTTTGTATCTTTCTTTTTTAAAAATTTCATTTATTCATTTTTAGAGAGAGAGGAAGGGAGGGAGAAAGAGAGGAAGAAAAACATCAGTGTGTGGTTACCTCTGGCGGTCCCCCTTTGGGGGACCTAGCCTGCAACCCAGGCATGTGCCCTGACTGGGAATCAAACCAGCGACCCTTTGGTTCATAGGCCAGCACTAATCCACTGAGCCACATCAGTCAGGTCATATTTAGTCATTTTATTCAATCAGTTATTTACAGTGGAGAGCATCTTTGAATAATAACTTTCTGAGTAAAATCTTCATTGAACAAATAAATTTAGAGATGATGTACTTCTTGATACTTTGTTAGAAGTGGTAGATTGCACTTATTTAGCAGTTTCCTTGTGTTTCATGATGAAATTTTTGTTTTGAACAACAAAGAAAGCACATGTATTAGGTGAGGCAAACACAAAATGCTGTAGTATACTTCCATCATTTTTAGCAAAGTACTTTTTAATCATACTTTATTTTTATTAATTGTTAGTGCATGATAAATTATCCCAAAACAATAATAGCTTGTTATAACCCATTTATTTGTTCATGGGCTTTGCTCAGCTACGTGTCTCTTCTGGTGGTATTCCTGGTGGTCGCTCATGTTGCACTCGGCTGGTGGCTGGCAGGATGGCTGATCAGTCTCCATGTAGTCTTAGGTCTCTCTGTCTTCACTGAGCTCCTGGAACAGCAGGGCTAGACACGACATGATGGCTCGCAACGCCCAAGAGTGCAAAAGCAGAGTTTGTTCAGCTAAGGCTTAGGCCTAGAATTAGCACATCACCTCTACTGCATTATATCAGTTGAAGCAAGTCATAGGCCTGGCCAGGATTTAACCAGGAGAGAGCTAAACAAGGACGTGGATGAGGAGGCGTGATTCACTGGGGGGTCCCCAAGACAGACCTAAGTCATAACAGACTACCACTGTCTATGTAACAGTAGGTGAATAATGAATGAAAAAAATTAAGGCATATTAGTCATTTTCATTGTGAGGCAAGTCCCACCAGTAAGGTGGAAATACTGACTCACGATAAAAGCTGTTTTGGAAATTAGAATGTGACCATCAAAAAGGAAGACCTTTTTTCCTGAATTTTCCCCAATTTTTTAATAACATTTCTTTTACCCTTTGAATTCAAAGTGCAGCAGTTTGTATTTATTGTACTCTTTTTCCAAATCAGATTCGAACCATCATATAATATTAAAATATAGTTCTGAAATGTCACACAATACCTTGAAATGTCACACAATACCTTGCAATAGAAGCTCCAACTCTGTTAAAGTAGCACAATATTCTTGTAAACTTCTCTCTGTTAGTTTATATGATGACCTTACAGTGTGGTCTCGATTGCTGAGTTTGTGGAGGTTCAGTGGTAGTACTTGCCAGGCACAGTGGTATGCATACCATTTTCCTTTCCCTTTAACTGTGGCAACCGTTCCAGTGTGTAACAACAACACGTGTGATCTCAATATTCTCTCTTGCTTATTAACCCCTGCAAGTTTGTTCATTTGAACCACATGTAGTGTTTTAAAGCATAATGAAGTGCCAAGTACAAGGTTTGCTTCATAGTAGGCCCTCAGTATAGATTTGTCAAATAAATGAATAAGGATTTGTCTTTTGAGTCACTGTATGAAGTCCAGCTATCTAAAGATAAGTTTTTAGTTTTTTGAAAAAGGCGAATTGAGGTAGCTCTCATAGATTGCCCGTGTTACTTACTTGTTTTAGGAAACACATTCCAGCAACAGTTAATATGTTTCTTACTAAACAACATTTTCTGTTAGGATAAGTCACTGCCCTATTTTCTTTGGTAAACAATAACTACTTTTGAATCAAATACATAAGTAATATTTCTTATCTTGAGACTTCAAAAATTATAAAAAGGATTGTAGTAAATTTCAAGCTTAAAAAACATCCATGCTCATTTAGAAGTGTATTTTATAGCTCTTATTTCACAGTTAAGTGTTTTCATATTTTTTAAAGTATATTTTATTAATTATGCCATTACAGTTGTTCTATTCCCCCTTCATTCCCCTCCACCCTGCACACCCCCTCCCCCACCATTCCCCCCTTTAGTTTATGACCACGTGTCTCAAGTTCTTTAGATTCTATATTTTCCATACTATTCTTGCCCTCCCCCTTGTCTATTTTGCTACTTATTTTCTGTACCTTCTCCCCCCTTCTTCTCCCACTCCCCTGTTGCTAACCCTCCATGTGATCTTCATTTCTGTGGTTCTGCTCCTGATCTAGCTGTCCTCTTAGTTTGCTTTTGTTTTAGGTGTGGTTCTTAATAACTGTGAGTTTGCTGTCCTTTTACTGTTCATCTTTTTTATCTTCTTTTTCTTAGGTAAGTCCCTTTAACATTTCATATAATAGTGGCTTGGTGATGATGAACTCCTTGAATTTGACCTTATCTAAGAAGCACTTCATCTGCCCTTCCATTCTAAATGAAAGCTTTGCTGGATAATTAATCTTGGATGTAGGTCTTTGGATTTCATGACACTTCTTTCCAGCCCCTTCTTGCCTGTAAGGTGTCTTTTGAGAAATCTGCTGATAGTCTGATGGGAACTCCTTTGTAGGTGACTGTCCCCTTATCTCTTGCTGCTTCTAGGATTCTCTCCTTTATTTTAATCTTGGCTAATATAATGATGATGTGCCTTGGTGTGTTCCTTCTTGGGTCCAACTTCTTTGGGACTCTCTGAGCTTCCTGGATTTCCTGGAAGTCTATTTCCTTTGCCAGATTGGGGAAGTTCTCCTTTATTATTTGTTCAAATAAGTTTTCCACTCATGGCTGTTCTTCTTCACCTTCTGGTACCCCTATAATTCGGATGTTGGAGTGTTTAAAGATGTCCTGAAGGTTCCTAAGCATCTCCTCATTTTTTGAATTCTTCTTTCTTCATCCTTTTCTGTTTGGTCATTTTTTCCTTCCTTCTGGTCCACTCCTTTGATTTGAGTCCAGTTTCCTTTCCATTACTATTGGTTTCCTGTGTATTTCCATTCATTTCAATTAGTTTAGCCTTCATATGTTCCTCTAATTTGTGACTAAAATCAACCAGTTTTGTGAGCATCCTGATCACCAGTGTTTTGAACTGTGCATCTGAAAGTTTGGCATTTCTTCATCGCTTAGATTTATCGGCTCTGGGGCTCTGAGTTGTTCTTGAGCCATGTTTTGATCTGTTCGTGCCTGTTAGGTATGAGGAGCGGAGCCTTAGTTGTTCACCAGGGCGGGGCCACCCAGGTCACTGGTTTGTGATGCTGTATGTGGGAGCTGGGTCAGAGAGGGACAATGGCAGTTCCCTCTGCCGCTTCCTGCTGCTGGGGCTTGCAAGGTGCATCTCACCACTCCCTCCTTCACCGGTTTATCTGTGTGCAGATGTGTGACCGCGATCAGCCCTCAGTGGGTCCGCCCACTTCTCCACACCTGGGATCCACCCACGGCTGCTGGCGCACCTGGGTCGCGCGCCCAGGTCAATCCGGTGGATCTTTCCTGCCCAACCCCACTCTGCCCCTCTTACCGGTTTGGCTGAAGGGTTCATTGTTGTTAGACTTCTGTGTAGTTCAACTTTCTGTGGTTTGGCTGCATTTTTGTTGCTAAAACTTTGTTGTTTTTAAACTTAGTTGTGCAAGAAGGTGCAGTGCTTCCACCTACGCCTCCATCTTGGCAGAAGTCTCTTTTTAGATTTTTAATTTACTTAAAACATTTATATACACTCTGCCTGACCTAGTAAGCAACTGAAATGGGCGGGGTCACTATTTCATTTTAGCTCTGATGTTGATTGGTCAGTGTGTAAACTTTTCACTAGGAGGAGACTGTCAGGATCTGAACCACAGGCAGCAAACACAGGCCCGAGGACCGAGTCCGGTCTTCCACCTGGTTTCTACCCAGCAGCAGCGCCAAACTCCTTGTCCCCAGTTAAGGAGTGGTTTCATTTACACACTCCAGAAATGACTTTTGGCCCTTTAAAGGCAAACTGTGAGGCTGATGTGGTCCCCAGTGAAAATGAGTTTGACACCCCTCTGATCTAAAACCGCTATGGCCATCTTTATTCATGCTGATCTGTCCTCTTGTCAGTTCCTTATCACGAACTCATTCTCAGTTTGTGCAGAAAAAAACAGTAGGTGGTCACCTACTCTTACTCATGGAGGCTATTTATTGTTGACCTAATATATTCCTAATGACAAAAACCTTGACTCTGATTTCTTCTGTATTTTCTGATAGAATGTCAGAGCCTTTCCTTTTAGATACAGGTTCATTTAACACACAAGGTTACTTTTGCTTTTACAAAGTTATTTAACTTTACTAGTTTAGCAGGCTTGCTTTTTAAAAGCATATTTCTTAATAGCATGTAAAAACAGCTATGTAAAAAAAGGACAATTTTCTCATTATGAAAATAATGGTTCATTAAAGAAAGTCCGAAAAATATAGATTTTTCAATCAAAAGAAATCAGCTGTTTCTTTTAAGAACATAATTGTCTGTATCTCAGCAAGCATGCAGTTTCTCACCACTAACGTGTTGCAAGTATCATTTCTTACACGTTGATATTCCACTCTTAGGGGGATAACTGTTTTAGTAGCTTGTATTTAAGTATTTAGAGCTAAAATGAATGAGAAGTAAAATTGGTAAAATAAACCTTAATTAGAAACTGTACCTTTTAATGTTTTGAACCCGGACTTTCTAATAAAGCCTTCTGCAGTGATGGAAATCGTCTGAATGCGGGCTGTCCAGGAAGGGAGCTGCCAGCCACATCAGGCTGTTAAGCACTTGAATGAGTAGTAGCTAGTGCAACCAAAGAACTGAATCTTATATTCTAGTTAACTTTGGATTTAAATTTAAATATCAATAATCACATGTGGTGTAGGCTACCATATTGGACAGTACAGGTCTAAAGCTATGAATTAAGATAGTCTCTGTCTCCATACCATTGTGCTTATAAATATCTTTAATTAAAGTGCCTCCAAATTAAGGTATTTTCTTTTTATCTGGTAGAATTTTCTAATGATAGATAAGAAATTATGATTTTAGTTCTGCCTGATTGCTTGGAAATTCACTACCAGTCTTTTTCCTCTGTAGGAAGAAGACCGAAAACTGTTAGTCGGATTCTTAGAGGACGTGATGACCCTGCTCTCCTTGTCGCACGCTCCTCTGGACAGCCTGAAGGCTTCCTTTGTGGAACTGGGGTAAAAAGTTACACGAGGTTTCTGTATTGGGTCCATAGCGCACCTGCTTTGCAGTCTAAAAAGACTGGCACATGTGCCAGCTCTCTCGGTTTTGAGAGTTGAGATTTGCTTTTGTTTATCTATATATTGTTAACATTTTGTAAACAATACGTTATAATAAGAGAGTGGGGAAAGGGCATAGACTTACGTTTTATTTAAAGCATTTGAAGAGATAAGATCAAATGCAGATTTGAAGAGAATTTAGTTTCCCCCAAGAGGAAAAAGGAGCCCAAGTGAAAGCCAGGTCGTGAGGCTCCTGTTTCTATCCCATGTGATTTGCCTAGTCCCACTCAGAATCCCGTCATCTGTTTCTGAAGTAGTGTTAATCCAGGCTTCACTGAAAACTGACCTCGAACTTACTGACACTGCCTTGCACTGTGATGGGTTTCACAGCCAGCTTTCCCTCCATGGGGATGATTGGAATTGATGTCACTTGATCCTACAGCCACCATGTGACATAGATGGGACATGCGTTGCTTCTCCGCTTTGACAGATACAGAAATTTAGATCCACAGAGACTGTAAATGACCTGTCTGGCTCTTACTTCAACATTCTTTTTTTTTTTTCTCATAGGTATATTTTCTTTTTGTTTTATTTAAATAGTTTTAACTTTTATGCTACTAAAGATTAGGATTTTTATCATCATTTTAGCTTAGAGAAGCTAAAAGTATAGTTTTTGAGTATGCTAAAAGTTTGTAGGGTGACTTGTTTAAAGAATCTTAGACATAACCCATTAAACTCTACAAAGTAATTCCATGTTTTACAAATACTCTTATCACTAGTACCCCTTATAAATGTAGTATTTCTCAGTGCACCCAGAAGGCCTGTGGCTGTCCCTCTTAAACCCGACTTTCTCCCTTGCAGTGCAAACCCAGCCTACCACGAGCTACTGTTAACGGTTCTATGGTACGGCGTTGTCCATACCTCCGCGCTTGTGCGGTGCACCGCTGCCAGGATGTTCGAGGTATGCACGCGAAGGCCTCTGCTGGTCCAGGTTGTGGTGGTTTTCTCTGGGAGCGGGAGAAGGGGAAGTTTAAACAGCAAAGGCTTTGCATGCTATGTTGCGTTGATGTGTATTTTACGGTATTGAATAGTGTCTAGTTGTGTACTGTGTGATGGAGCAGAAATTGAGCTTTAACATAGTTAAGAAAGTTTCCTAGTCTTAATGGTTCCTCAGATGCTATTCTGTTATCACTTTCATTTCTCAAATTTTCTTTAAATCTTATTTTAATTTTCATCCTCTGTACATCTTTCTGACTATACCTTTCTATTTACTAAGGCACATGGCTACTAAAATAAACTAAAGCAATATAGGATATTTTCAAAGTCATAAAATAATAGTTATAGTCGTGAGTAGCATTAAAAATTAATTGTCACAGTTATGGAAATACTTAATTTGATTACTCCTATTTTGCTACTCCCTCACATGTCATATCCAGAATAACCTCCCTGTAGATTCCCAGCCCATATGTTTATGAGAGAACAGACTGTTCATATAGTTTAACAGATAGCCTTACATCGCCACCTACCTAAGTTAACTGTGACGATTGAGGTACCTGTCCTTTGTACCTATCATAGAAGAAATTATCTTATCACCTAGAAATATATATATGTGGTCTGGCACAAATAAAGCTGCTTTTTTATTACAGAACCTTTTATTACAAAATCATAAGCGTGGAATTCTATAACATAACAGTATCACACTCACAGTACAGCATGTGACATTTTAGGTGAAGCGTTCAGGTTAAAACTGTGAATGTTTACACCCGTATTATTACCCTGCCAGCCCCACTCAAGCAGCCGTTCCTTCCGCCGGAACACAGAGTTCGAACACTAAAACTGGTTTAGAGTGTTTCGTATTGCTGTCGAGTCCTGGCACAGAGCCAGCCCACCTGGGTTCAGCGTCTGTCTCTGCCACTTGGTGGCGAGTTCAAACGACTCCGCCTCAGTTTCCTCATCTACAAAATGAAGATGATAATCAGTATCCATCCCAAAGGGTTTCTGTTAATATTAAGAATCAAAACTTGTAAAGGCTTTAAAACAGTGTCTGGCACATAATAAAAGCTCAATAAATGTTAACTATCAGTATCTTTTTTTTTTTTTTAAGTTTATGCTCTTATTTCACAAAACAATGTAATAGTTTAGGAAACCTATTTATCTGAACTAAAATCCCAAATATGCGTATTATTCTGAAAATATCTTAAACCATTTATTTCTGTAAGAAAAGGTGGATAATTCAGTTTTTCCCAAATTTCAGAATTTTTCCACAATTTAAGATAAATTGCAATTGAAGAATAGAGCTCTGATATATTAAAAATATATACCTTCTGAAACTTTTAAATATATAAAATATATTCGTGCAATTTAAAGAAAATTTTATTGTTATAAGGAGGTTGAAAATTCTCTGTCCATATTATTTCCTCAGTCATTATACGTGTTTGATCAAGAAAACTATAATCAGGTGTTCTTTGTCAAGGTGAATGCCAAATTAAAAATTCAGTTTGATGTCCTTCTGGGCGTAAATAATTGTTGATCATTCAGTATGCTGAAAAAGAATAATTACCATAAAAGAATCAGAGTCTTTCTTCAACCCCTTCCTTCCCCTAAAGAAGAAAACATCCTTTTAAATGAAGAGCTGTTTCTTTAGCAGTTTATTCTAAGAGTCTAAAAACTATTGCTTTTAAACCATTCGTTTCTAAAATGTATGTCTGCACCAGCAAAGCAAATTATGTAGGTGGGAATAATTTAAATAAATAACATGAAGCCTCCCCACTTTTTCTTCGTTTTGGAATTTTCTCCTGCCTCGTTTCTTACATGTGGCTTTGCCAGGGTTGGTTTCCATGTCTGCGTCAGCGCTGGTCTGGAACCTGTGTTTGTGTGGAAGCAGTTTGCGCTGCTCGCTCCGGCTGCTCGTGAGCTTCATCAGGTTCATCTGTGATCAGAAGCGGTCACTGAGCATGCTAGCAGGAAATCAGTAGGAAAAACTGTTTGGTCGATGACCCTTATTTTGAACAAAAGTATATTAAAGTAAGAAGTATATTTACAAGGTTTCTCCTGATACTAATAGTTTATGATTTACAACTAAGCCTCCTTCCCCTCCAGAATAAGTTTATTTAAATTAAAACATAAAAACAGGACACTCTAAATGTTTAAAAATACTTCAGTGTAAGACTAGAAATTGTTGAGAAGAATGTAAGAAATGATATGCCAGGAACATAATATGAGAGACTTGAGTGAAATCGAACACTAAATTTAGCTCTTGAGTTTGCAGACAGCTGTACAAAAAGAGGAAACCCAATCTGTCATGTTATTCTCACTGTTAAACAAAAGACAGTGCATTAGTCCTAGAAGCAGCAAATTATTACTGACATTGATTGATAAGGTGACTTGATCATGTGACTCCCAGTGTGACATAACGGATTTCCCACAAGATGCAGGAAGGAACTTCACTTAATGGTATCGCGTATCAGTCATAAAGGAATGAAGCATGTAACTAACATTGGGCCACAGCTCACAGAAGGCAGGGGCTTTAGCATAGATGTGATTGAGTCATTTTTTAGCCTCCTTCTCAAGCCATGGACAAGTTATTCAACTTCTTGAAGGCTCATTTCCTCATCTGTTAAAACATCCATAATACTTGTACTTACCTCATCAGGCTTAAAGATCAAACGAGATACTGTATGTAGTGTAATAATTGATAGCTCTTAAATTTTGCTTTCTGAGATTGCAGCTCAATAAAGAAATTAGACTTTCAAACCCCAGATCCATGAAAAATTAACTAGATTATCCTTCTTCCGTAATGCTTTTTGGCTGGCACAAGATAGCAGACATTTCAAGATACACTTAAGTGATTCAAATCTAAGCTACCTTATTTATAAAATGGCACAGAGATAGGAGTTTTATTTAACAATATTCGAACTTTTTTTCCTGTCTCTTTGTATTGATACCTGATATTATTAATGTTTAAGGTAGCAACAGAAGTTCTCACATCATTTTATTCCCGCATAATTATCCATGTTTTTTTGTAAAACTTTTGAGGTAGATGCTGATGTGAATCCATTGTTAAAAGGCAACCACTTATTGTGAAATGAAGACTCTTCCCGTAAAGGGACTCTGCCCCTCTGGGGCACGGTGTCACCGGACCATGTTGACATGTGCCCGGGTTGGGTCTTCATTACTGAAAAGTCCACGGCATCTTTTGTCTTGGCAGGAGGACTCGTTCCTTTAACAAAAGAACAAATTGGTCAGCATTTAGGATTAGTTTGTGTTTACATTCTGACATCGAGAATTTAGGATCCAGAAACTGCCCTTCTCTGCTGAACTCATAAAATTCAGTAATTTTTATAAAAACAAGATGCATGTTTTATAATATCGTCCTCTTGTTCTATGATATAGGGTTGGCTGCTAAATGTATCATTTTATGATTAGATCACAGAGATGGGTGTAAAAGTGCTCATCTTACATACTTTTTGGGGGGAGTTATGTTTGGTTTTATTTTTCATTCATCATTTATTTGTTCCTTTTGAATTTTCCAAGTGCAATATCATGTTTATGTTTGCTACTGATAAAATAAACAAAATTACATTACAACAACTAACAGCACAACCATTCACTTCCCATTTCGGATTCGGTCAAGAGACTGAAGTGAGTACCTGTCAGTGACCAGTGGAATGCTACCGAGAGGCCCTTCCTTAAAAAAAATGGAACTATTCTTTATTTGTAAAAACATCACAAGAAGTGACAGGCTCTTTTAAATCTCCACACATGTTCCTTTGGCATTTGGCAGCCATGCTGTTTATACGCTTGAGAGAAATATAAAACAAAGAACTCTTTGTAAATGTTAACTACTTGAACCAATCAAAAAATCTTTTTATTTTTTAAATGTGTCTTTTATTGCGGTAACGCTGGTTTATAACATTGTATAAACTTGAGGTACGCAGCATTGTACAGTGACATCTTAGGCACCACACCCTGCTCACCACCAACAGTCTAGTCTCCATCTGCCACCATGCAATAAAAAAAGTTTAAGTTTTTTCTAATATATCACAAGTCTGAAATCCTTGGCATACTCGTTATATTGATAATTACACTCATGTTTCTTGAGTGCTTAGTCTTGGCCAGGCACAGTATTTAGGCGTATCATGTGTAATCAGTTGCACAAGTGTCCTTTAAGGTAGATGACAGCAGCATCACCATTTTCAGATGAGAAAACCGAGATTCGGGCGATTATATAATAATATGTGTAAGGCCACAGGGCTGGCAAGTGGAGAGCTAGCGTCTGAACCCAGCTCCTGTCCCCGTGTTCTGTCCTTTCCACCAGGCTGTCTCTATCTCTCTACTTCAAAAAAGAAAGCTGTGTGATATGAAAGGGTGGGAATTTTACTGTGCGGTTTTTAAATTAACTGGCTATAGCACAATCAGAAGCAATTTAGTGGTGGCTGCTAGCCGATGAGTTTTGTTTAAAAACAGTCCAGTTTGTAACTTGTTGGTCATAATAAGATCACCAAATTTACTTAAAGGATTTTAACCATAGAACCCAGTATATGTCTCCTAGGTAGCTTATTTTTTTTTTTTACTAAAGCTTTCTTTTAAATTGCATTTTAATTGAAAATGAAAATTGCATAGACTATTTGACCAGAAGTACAAACTGCCATTGAATTAGTGACAAACTCTTTTTGTGGACTGCCAGGCTATGTAAGCTTTATTTTCTGCCTAAGCATTCTCTGCCTTTATAATGCACTCTAGTAGCAGTATTTGCTTAGCTTCTAATTTTGTTTTTGCTTTTGTGTTTTCTCTCTTTCTCTTGGTTATTCCTTTCTTCCTCCGTGGCATTGTGTTTGCTCTTAACATGCATCACCTGTGAATCCCCCCTGCGCCGACCAATCAGCTGTTGGTGAAGGGGGTGAATGAGACTCTGGTAGCTCAGAGGGTGGTTCCTGCTCTCATTACTCTCTCCAGTGACCCTGAAATGTAAGTGTGGTCCCTGCCTTCTACATTCAGCATCCCTTCCAAAATGCGCCTGTCAAGAAGTGACCATCGGCTTTCAAATTCATTGACAGCTGTGTTTATCTCTTTCAAGTAATACCATTGGAGTACGCTTATTAGCTTTAAACTTTATCATACTTAAGATATTTATGTATCCTTAAGTCAGCCTTCATGGTAAGCTTAATTTGGAGGCCATGTATTTAAAAATCTATATTAGTAGTTTTCTCAAAACATTTCTAAAACTTACAACATGCTGATGGACTATTTCTTCCAAGCCAAGAAGGGATGCTCTGCTAATCTCACTAACATTTCGTTACCAGTAAGTATAGTGGCATGAACCAAAGGCTTAACATTTTAATGTCTCGAGTGGGTGACTAAACCAGGAAAGGCCAATCAGTCTGCCTGCCCATCCTCAGTCACAGCTAACCCAGTTCTCATTCCAGTTTACCAAACCATTTTTTATTGCATGTTGACTGGTTTACAGCTGACTCTTCGAGGCATGAGTGAAGCGTTAGTTGACAAGCGGGTTGCTCCGGCCCTTGTTACCTTGTCCAGTGATCCTGAATTGTGAGTTTCACAGACTGCGACCTTAAGTTATCCTGTCCTGCCTTTTTGAGCATTCTTCTTGGTCTGCTTTTTTAAATTTTAATTTGTCATTGCTAGAGACTGATACAGTTTATTTACATTGTACTTTGATGTAAGTTAGAATAATAGTGTTTCATCTCAAAGAAAGCTTCAGTTTATTTCTCTTTCAATTCTAACAGATCTGTCAGGATTGCCACAATTCCAGCCTTTGGTACTATTATGGAAACAGTTATTCAAAGAGAGGTAGGAGGTGATTGCAGTTTACTTCTGCGTGTCGTTGAGGTGATGATAATGCATTACCACACCTGCACCCGGTGACGGTGGGGGGCAGGGCATCATGCCTTTCATTTCATTTCGTAGTGTGGCCAGAGGAGGATCTGAGTATTTGAAAACATGCTACTCTGCTCAAAGTATATTTTCCCAAGGAAATCTCCAGTCTCTCTTCTCAGGTAGAAAAATGACTGTAGGCCAGTTCTCAGATGTTCTATTTTAAGCTTGGCTAGGTATTGCAGTTTTGGATAACCCTTCAAACCAGACCTAGTTCCAAAGCCTTCGACTGTCCCCTGGATTTCTGGACAGTCTGCATTGGTTCCTGACTGCCAGCTGGAACACCTTGGAGACTGTTTGTCAGATAACATTAGGAACACAAACCTATGTTGGTTTCTCAGACAGAGGCTGGGGGCACCTCTGTTCCCCTCAGGGTGTCATTGACACCAAGCTGCAAGGCCTGGTCCGGCACCACATTGCAGCACACAGCGTTGTGACAGTCCCCTGCTGTGCCTGCTGCAGATGACCAAAGTCTTCCTGCCTAGAATTTTATTTTGACTTAATTTCAAGTTTATTGGTTTCTATTTGCAACATTAACTGTAAGACACTTCTCAAAGCTGGTGTCAGAACTTCATTTTTGTTATCAAATTGGACATGTCCTTATCCAAACCAGTGTTATCTGAAATGTTAAAGGGTCTTCTTTAAGAAGATCAAAAATATGAACAATACAATGGCAATAAATACATAGCTATCAACAATTGAGTCTAAAAAACAAAATAAATAAGCAGAACAGAAACAGGATCATACATATAGAGAATGTTTTGATGGTTGCCAGATGGGAGGGGATTTGGGGGCACAGACAAAAACAGTGAAGGGATTAAGAAGTACAAATTGGTTATTACAGAATAGTCATGGGGATATAACATACAGCATAGGGAATATAGTAGCCAAAGAGCATAAAATATATGCATGACCCATGGGTGTGGCCACAGTGTGGGGATTGCCTGAGGTAGTGCAGGTCGGGGCTGGGTGGAGGGGGGCAAAGGAGGGAAAATCGGGACAATTGTGATAGCATAATCAATAAAATATAATTTTTAAAAAACCCTGTAGATTAGAACATAAATTATTTGTGAGCATACTACTTAGCCATTGAAATGTAAAACAAGATTTTATCTAATAGACATTTATCAAAAAAGAAAAACTATCTTGTAAAATTCCTTTGTCATGTAGATTTTTCATGACAAAAATTAAATAACCTTGTTACTTATGGAAAAAATTGTCCTGTTCTTCACTTATCATTCTGCCAAGCTTGCAGTTTTGGCAGAATTTCAACATATTCTTAAATCTTAAAATAAAAACGTCTTTTAGGGAAATGTGAGTAAGATATAAGTCATTAGTGACTCACTGCTTTCGGAAGGTGAATAATTGGGTAACTTACACTGTGATTTGTCTTAAGAATTCTAATTTAGATACAAAATATCATTTATCTCTTTTTTCCTAAATATTGCGGGGTCTTTTCATTTGTTTTCATGGTTTTCCAATAGATTTTTATTTTCTAAAACAAAAAAAAATGAGAAATTAACAAGCATAAAAATGTAAAACACCTTCTGAACGAAAAGAGTAAATAAGTACTTACTTCCGAGTTTTACTGCCACCTGGATGTAGAGCGCTTGAGTCCAATGCTGCCAGCCTGTGTGATGTGTGCCTCTCTCTTTAACAACTCTGCAATGTTTGATGTTCCATAAAATGACTGTCCGATGTCCGATTTTAAGTTGCTGGAGAGAGTGAAAATGCAGTTGGCTTCTTTCCTGGAAGATCCTCAGTATCAAGACCAATATTCTTTGCATACAGAGATCATAAAAACGTTTGGGAGAGTTGGGCCTAACGCAGAACCAAGGTTCCGAGATGAATGTAAGTTGCATTTTTCTACCTATTTTCCTGAACTGTAATGTCAGATCACAGCCAGGCGCGTCTTTTAGCATTTGTCACGTGTTAAAGCCTTTCTCCACTTCATCTTCCACAACCCGAAAGCTGAAAGCGAAACAAGTTGGTAATTGGGAACTGATCGGGAGTGCTTTACTGGCTGGTGTCTTATACTCTATACTGATTGCTAGAACACAGGTGACAGGTAGCTCAGGCAGCTGCAAGTTATTTTAAAAACATTTCTTAATAACTTAGTTTTATAATACTGTGCTGCCTTATATTTAGAGCTTATTAATTCTTATTTTTAAAGAAATGTTTGTGTTTCTAGATATATTATTATGAAAAATATACATTTCTTCCACCTAGCGTGTTACTCAGCTGTGATATATTACTTTAATTCGTGGCTTGTTAAATGATCTCCAGGGTAATCTGCTAAAACAGTTTCTCACGTTGCTATAATGTCTCCTGACTGAGGGCCTCAGCCTTCAGGCATCACAATTTATGGCGTCAAAGCTTCCAGTCATTGTCATTGCAAACACACGGCAGTTATCACTGCTGTATGTCAGTCCCGTTATTCAAGATAAGAGTCATCAACAGAAAGTATTGTCATGATTTGGACTGCAGTGTGCAAAGGGTCTGTCAAGGTCATGAACACGTACTGAGCTACAGAAACACAATCATGAGATGATTTTCCAAGGGGCAACACGAAGAGAAAATAACAGTATTTCATAATTAGTTAACAGGAAAAAGGGTTGGCATTTTAATTAGCAATAGAAATAGTTCCACAGGACGTAACAGATTTACAGGTGACCTTAGTGAAAACTCGGAAGGTGCTTTGACAGCTTGGTAGAGGCCATAACTCCTCTGAATCTGGGAGAATAAGCCTCAGCTCCTGGATCCAGGGGTGAGCCAGGCTCAACAAGCAGTCAGTCTTCAGGTTGCAACATGTTGAGTTGATAAGTCTCTGAACACGATCTGACCTTGGAGTATATGTGTCACAGAGAAGAAAGACATTTTCTTTTCACAAACAGATTGAGGGTAAAAGTCCCTACTGCTTGGATAGGTAGACTAAACCTTTACCCTTGAAGCCTTCTACAACTTACTGTATACCCAACAAGTATATCTTACCGCCTTTTTTCACATTCTGGCACAACCAGATTTTTTTTTTTTTTGAGACACAATTATTTTTTCTTTTGTACTTACTGTCTGGTCAAATGGCTTCCCTTTTACTTTAAAACTTTGCCTGGAGAAATTTAGTGCCTGTGTCAACATGGTTAGTGGTAGGTGGAGAGAAAGGCAGATATTGACAAGGTGCTGTGTCGTTCTCCACCTGCGTTTGTACGGGATTCCTTTGGGAAGCTCAGAGGGGGGGGGGGCCTTGAGTTGCTGAGTGGTGATGTCTTCCTGGGAGTGGCTTTCTGGACATTTGCTTCTCTCTTTCTTGGGGGACATTGGTTCTTCCAGGGGCCCTTTTCCTTTCCCACCTCTTAGTTATCCCAGGACCTGTTGGTCTTCGTTTTATTCCAGGAGCCATCTGTTTTATCTGGAACTCGGTACAGTTGTTCGTTCATTTACTTTACTTTAGAAAGCTCTGAAAACCCTGTTGTACGTAGGGGGCTTTATAACCTGGCAGTTGTACGTTTCAGCTTAGTTTTTTTCGAGGTTTTTTATTTCAGATCTGAGCCCGTTTACAAAAAGAGAGGACAAGATTACCTTAACTTTGGCTGTTGGATCTCTCCTGGAATATTTTTTGAAAATTTACTTCTATTTTTATGAAATCTCCTATTGATTTATCTTTATTTTATAATTTGCGGTTTTGAATTTTTGTCCAAGTCTGCCCTTAAAAGAAAGGCTTCTGCAATAGCCTTATGTCGAGTCTTTCCTGTTGCCCAGTGAGCGTCAGTTGTAGGATTATGCGTATCTAGGCTATCAACTTTTAACCATGTATCTCTATCCGAGGGGTTAAAAAGTGAAGTAACTGGTACAGATGTGGTAGCCCAGGACCACACGTATATAACAAAATGTTGAATTCTAGAGTAAGGTTCTGCCTCTCTTCTGAGATATGGGAAGATTCTTTTTTTTTTTAACATCCCCACCCAAGGATATGCTTATCAATTTTAGACAGAGAGGAACAGGGGGAGAGAGAGAGACATCAGTGTGAGAGAGAAACATTGACTGGTTGCCTCCCGTCCACACTCTGACCATGGATTGAAACTGCAGCTTAGACATGTGCCCTGACTGGGATCAAACCCACAACATTTTCCTGTGTGGGAGGATGCTCCAGCCGAGCCACTCAACCAGGACTTGAGGAGGACTCTTAATCACAGCTTTTACCTGGCTCTAGACCGGAGTTTAAAGTAACTTCTGTACATGTGATTTCAAGTTGAGAGTTTTAAGAGGACATTGCGTAGTGCGTGTGCTGAGTTCCTAGGCAGAACGTTTAGGGAAGGATCACTGGGTAGTTGGTCAGAGAAGGGGCGGAAGGAATGACGCGGCCGTGTGTCAGTAGATGAAGAAGTGCAAGGTAAGCTCTGAAAGGTCTGGGCAGAAGCGAAGTAGACAGTGCTGAGAGAGAAACTGTTGTAGAGCCGCCGTTTGGTGGCTGCTCTGTTCATGAAATGGCCTGGGCTTGCCAGTGAATGACCAGAGTTTAAAGAACTTCACTGAGAAATCATGACTGATTGGAGTTTTTGTCTCCTACGCTTTTTTAGAGCTCCTCTTAAGTACATTGTCACTAATTTTCACAAGTCAGAAGGTCCCCTAGGCCCTGGCTGGGTTGCTCAGTGGGTTAGAGTGCCGCCCAGATGCACCAAGGTTTCAGGTCCGATCCCCTGTCAGGGCACACACAGGAAACAGCTAATGCATGCATGGACCAAGAAACTGATATTTCTGTCTCTCTTTCTCTCTCCCTCCCTCCTTCCTCCCTCTCTCTGAAGCCCATTTTTTTTAAAGTCCCCTAAAAACGGCCATTGTTGTCCTAAGTTTTGGTGTGGTTTATTTTGTCATGTACCGAGGTAAGCATGGAAGTTGTGTTTATAGTGCCTGGTTATCGAGGAAGCAGGAAGCTTTTTTCTAGGAGGAGATGGTGGCTTTAATGTGTACAAACTCGGTGCAAACATTGGAGAAGTCACACAGTTGGTCAGAAGTGTGTGCTTATGAACGGTGTTTCGGGTTCCCCAGCCAAGCCGGGAGTAGAAAGGGGCCATATGAGCAACCATCTGATGCCTGAAGACCCTGGAGCCACTTCTCCAAGGAGCCCTGGTCCCAGTGGGAGGCGGCATGTATTTAGAAGACACGATCTTAGGCAGTGGGGGACTCACTGCTCCCGAACTGGTTACTGTCTCTTGGGCCATCACTTTTATTTTAGCAGCAGGTTGCCTGCACTTTTGAAATTTTACGTTATTCATTGAGATATAAGATATTGTGCCCATTGAGTGACTTAAAAACTCAGCTTCCTGTGCTAATTGGCATTGGCCTTTGCTAAGAATTTGAAAAACTAGAATAATAGTTTTATGAAGGTCTGAAATAATTTGATGTTGAAAAACAACACATATACTGTATCATTTGTTTAACAGCACTGGTAATGCCTGATTCTCACAAAGAAACTTATACGTAAAGACAGTAACACAAAACGGAGAGTGCTCACGTAGGTCTACTGCGTTCTCCCTTCTCACACTGGGCAGCTGGGCCGCAGTGGGGCCGAGCAGTGCGTGTGCAGCCGAGCAGTCGGGTCGGAGTGCGGGCTGCCCTCTGTTCCCCCAGACCCAGGGCACGCACATTCTGAGAAGCACGCGCTCTTCTCTAGGAAAAGGAAGCAGGCCCAGGGTGGGGCTAATCTTTTGAAAATCATCTAGAATGCAAATGAAATTTTACAAATTAAAATGAAAAAATATTTTTTAAGATGTACTAGTGTTGTGTGTCTTGGATAAAAATGTAACGATTTCCAGGCCCTGGCTGGTGTAGCTCAGTGGATTGAGCACAGGCCTGTGAACCAAAAGATCATAGTTCGGTTCCCTGTCAGGGCACATGCCTGGGTTGCAGGCCATTTCCCAACAGGGGACGCACCAGAAGCAACCATACCTTGATATTTCTCTCCTTCCCTTCCCTTCTAAAGATAAATAAAGAAAAATGTAAAGAAATGTAACGATTTCCATTTCTTTTTCTTTTCCAGTTGTTATACCCCACTTGCATAAGCTAGCCTTGGTGAACAACTTACAAATCGTGGATTCTAAAAGACTGGATATTGCTACCCATCTTTTCGAAGCCTACAGTGCACTTTCCTGCTGCTGTATCCTTGACGAATGCGGTCGTTATTTACATAGCCAACCTTACAGTGAGCCAACTCAGGTTTTAAAGGTTAAGGTGTCGAATTTTGTCCTCCAACTTACATACGTGAGGATTGCAGAAAATTAAAAACATGATCCGACTCGCCTCACTCCTTGATCTAGCTGTCTCATAATTTCACAAGATACTTGTAAGTCCTCTGGGCTTACCTGTTAAAAGTAGTGACTAAAGTTTTATTTATGTTGATCAACTGTATAACTGAGCTAGAAATGGATTATAGCTGAGGGTTCTGTTAATCAAAAGAAAACCCTGTCTGTGTCCTGGCGTCGGGTTCTTCAGTGAACGTGCCCCCGTCTGCGCCCAGCGGAGTACAGGTAACACCCTCTCGAGAGAGGCCACGCGTTGAGGGAGTGCAGTGCCAGTGTGGCCGGCGCCTCCGGAGCAGGTGGGCGCGGCAGCAGACTCAGGGATGGTCTGACGCTGCCAGACACTGCATGTTATAAGTGATTGAAGTAAACCTTACGTTCGCGACTTCTGTTTTTCATCATTAGAAAAGCAAAACTGTGACTGCAACAAAGAACTTCAGCCACCCTCCTAAATGTTCTCTTTACTTTTGTAAGCCTAGTAAAATAAAACAAAGAAGGAAGTAAAGATAAAAATGACCCAGGTGAACTCCAGCTCTTAGGCCCTGCCACTGAAAGGCGGGTGAGTTCACAAAAGGGGAAATAAGCAAGAGATCGAAAAAGGGCTGCAAGGCCGGCTGCTCGAACAGAACTGTAAAAGTACGTGCTGGACGCCATAACCAGAGCATTGGATCATGACAAAATGACGGTAGGGATTCGTGGGAGGAAGCAGAGGACAAAGGAAGAGTTTCAGGATTGGAAGTTATTATTTCATATTGTTATGTAGCAGTTTGAAGTAACAAAGTGCACAGATCATTGTAAATATGACAGAAAGGTTCCAGTGGGAGGTTAGTTTTGTTCAGAATCAATCAAATGGATAAAGTAGAAACTTAGAGCTATTTGCTAAGGAGCTGTGTTGTAACTTGAAGTTGGATGTGTGATTGAGAGCATTTTACTTTAGGAATCTACTACAAATTATTCATCTGCATGGTGTAAGCCGTGTTTTTTGTTATATAGACTATAAAGTGGGCAGAGATACCATATTTTGATGATTTTGTGCCTCAACTATCCATGAGTCCATCTTCTAAGTTTAATTCCACTAAAAAAGAGAACTTACTATCATTTTTTATTTATCTTGTTGGCATTTTCAACGTATGAAAGATAGAGGAAGCCAAAAGAGGAAGAGACGTCCTGAATTAGCAAGGAAGACTCGTCAGTAATGGAAGAGTGGCAGGACCCTTATGAGAAAGGAATGATGGCATGTCAGTTTGCATCTCAAAGAAAGAGAACACTGGTTGTACCTGCTCCCTGGGCTCTGTATGAGTAGAGGTTCAAAAACTGAAGCGATGCCACTTACATTCTTTAATAACAGAGAGTGTCTAAAGGAATATGCCTCAAGGGAAATGGAAAAGTCAAAAGTGAAACATTTAAGCTCCATACAGCTAAATTTTCCAAGGGGGCAAGGCAGTGGCTCCTCAAGAGCACGGACGCCCGCAGGGAAGGAACAGCAGTGTGGGTCGACGTGTGCACGCGTGTCACTAGAGTACGCACAGTAAGAAGCCTTCACACCAGTGTGGTGAGGGGAAGGGCCGTCCTCACCGCACCCTGTTCAGGGACGAAGGGTGAGTTCTGCGGGAGTCAGAGCTCGCGCCTGTGTCGGCAGGTCGGCGTGGCCGCCAGCAAAAGCACACTGTCCACGTCGGTTCTGCTGTCCCGCAGCGTTCTGAGCTGAGAGAAGACAGAGTATTCCTTTCAGCGCTGACATATCGTAATAAGGACATAGAAAAACTGTAGAGTGTAACATCCAGCACAGTAATAGGTCAAGACATCATATTTTTTAAAACTGTGAAGAAATTTAAAAACATTTAACTTGGTGAAGAGATGGCTTGGAGATGAAAAGACCATTTAAAAATTATTCTAAAGGTTGCTATTACAGAAGAAAGGTTAGGTATGCTGTAACTAAGGCGCAGAACTACCACTACCAAGCAGAGGCCACAGAGAAGCCGATCTCGTGGATCAGGAAAACTTCCTGATGGAGCTCCCTAAAAACGCAGCCATCTGTCCCACGAAACTCCTAATGTTCTGTCACTGTCAGCACTCGGAGGCTCCATGGCCATCGTTCGTGGGTGAGGCAGACACGACTCCTGATAGGAGACAGGACTAACTGACCTCTATAAGTCTTCGCCCCTTAACAAAGATTGTTTGATTCTTTGGTGAAAAGGGAGAACCACACTGTGCGTAGAAAAGAGGAAGAGGGTGAATGCCCTCTTACCTCCAAATAGGGCCGTCTGCAGCTTCTCAATCCATGACCATGTTTCTGGGTCAGAGACTCCACTGCTAGTGCAAAGGCCACTTACCGTCCCCACCCACACCCAGGAAACAGGACTGCGTGGCCAGCAGGCTGCAGGCCTCTCTGCATTTGTAGGGCTTTGGTGTTTAAGCCCTTCCTTGTCTATAGGAAACCTGTATAAGAACAATTTTTATTTATAACTATTTTAAGGCCATAATTATATATTATGTATATAAAACACTGGTTTTTCTCAACTTGATAAAATTATAGTTTTTTTCAAAAAGACTGATGTACTCATCTTCATAAGGGGACTCATTTATTGGCATTTTTCACTTTTAATATTGGTATAATATTAAAAGGGACTATTTTAAATTTTTTTAAAGGCTTTATTTATTTTAGAGAAAGGGGAAGGGAGAACGAGAGGGACAGAAACATATGTGGGAGAGAAACACTGATCACTTGCCTCTCCCATGTCTCCAACTGAGGGCCTGGCCTGCAACCCAGGCACGTACCCAGACCAGGAATCGAACTGGCCGCTTTTCAGTTTGTGGTATGATGCCCAGTCCACTGAGCCACACCAGTCAGGGCTAAGAAGAACTATTTTTAAAATAGATAATAATTGCAGTTTGGTGCAAATATGTCAGAATTGATGTAAATAAGCAAGATGAAGCGTTTTCTCAAAAAAATGCATCTGCCCACCTGATTCCTTTTAATGTCAATCAAAAGTAAATCTCAAAAATGACCAGGAAATATACTAATAATAATGTTACAATAAAAGCTCTCTTACCCAATTCAATAGGATCAATAGTAGATCAATTTAATAGGGTTGTTAAAAAAAAGAAATCAGAAAATTTTATATACCAAACATAACTTACTTTAACTTGAAATAAGTGAATATATTTTCTTTTTACCAATCCTTTGATGTAGGACTGAGGAATTTCTTCTGTGAGGATTGGTTAGAGCTAAACATCATCTTTCTTAGACCACATCCATGATGTAATTGTCTATGATTTTCAGCTTTTTAAAAAAGATCAGGAAACATTTCTGATACTGGACATAGCATTTTTTCTAGGGTGATGTATTTTTACTAATCTTTTGCAGTTCTTGTACATACATAATTAAACAGCAATGTCTAAAGCAATGGCCTTCAGCGATTTTTTCTAAAGCTTTCAACTTAATTGTCATGGAAACATCAGTTCTCTTTTTATATTCCCTTTACTCATTTAAACATCAATTAAAATACATGATTTAATTTTCACATTCATTATCTCCTATGTTTATAAATCATGCAATTACATAATGTCACAATATTGAACACCACTGACAAAGAGATTGGAGGGAATAAGATGCATTGACTCCTGGTAAATAGCAACTAACCAGACAAACGAGACTCGTGCTTGAGGAAGCCTGTTCACTCTCGGCCATCTGCGTGCTATAGGCTCTGTTTAAAGAGCTGCTTTTATGTTATCCTACTGTTCTGTTGGACATAGTAGCTTTTCTAAATTATTTTTTAATTCCCTTAACTATGTTGTCCGAAGTCATTTCGGAGGATTTGATGGTTAACCATTTCCTGCCCGGCCTCAGATGTTTGCGGACTGACATGGAGCACCTCTCCCCAGAGCATGAGGTAAAAGCTGCTGCAGTGGTTAAGCCATTGCGATTCCCAGTGGCTTGTTCACACGTTTTAGTGTCTCCTCTGCAGGGTATTTCTCCACGTGAGGCACGATGTTCCCACACTGCACCTAATTTCTTAAATCCAGGTCAGCGTCCCGCTCTGGGTTTATTTACCACTTAGGATGTCTTGGGCAACTCCTTTAACGTCTTTGAGCCCGTTTCACCCTCTAAAGCAGGGATAACTTACTCTCCTTCCCCGAATGTAATTAGAATGTAATAAGATAATGTGCATGAAATACTTTTAATTAATAAAGTGCAATACAGTGTTGTGTCATCAAATTTCTTAGAAGATAGATTTCTACTTTGTCTCCTTTTCTCATAACTCTTTCATTCTATTTGTCTTCCTGCTTCCCCCAAAACTCCGTCTTATTTCTTATTCTGCATCTTCAACATACCTTTCTGCAGCTTTTCTTTAATCTGTTATCATAATCGACTCTCCTCTTAACAGAAGCAAAACAAGACAAAAACAAATGCATTCCTTCATTCCTACCTGTATTGCTGTGCCTTTTTCACTTCTGTATTGTTCACTGGTTTCTTGCACTCTTTTTAAAATAGTTTTGATAGGGATTTATTGATTTCATTACTCTCTTCTAATATTGACCTTTTGGATGTGTGGATTTTTTTACTCATTTCCTGTTTCATCGATTTCTGTCGTCATCTTTATTTCTTTTTGCTTTCTTTAGGGTTTTTTTTTTTTACATTTTTCAAATTTCTTGAGAAGGTTAGATTTACTTTTGACTTTGATTATTTATTTAACTTGCTTTTTAACTTTATTTCTAACACATGTTACAGCCTTTTATTAAAGGCTGTTCAGAAAATCTTCATGTGAACTGTAGCCCACTTCACCTTGCCCACTAGTACTCCTTACCTAACTCAGTGTTCTTTCCAAAGCCCTTATCACCTTCTAACATGCAATCAAATCTATCTGTTCGTTTGTGTTCATTGTCATAGGAACATGTGTGCACCAGGAGGGAATGTTGTTTGTTTTATTTGCTGCATTCTCTATGTTTAAAAAAGTGCCTGGCACATAGTAGGTGACATATTTGTTGTGTAGGGACCTCCATGCCCAGACATAGGCCAGAATGTTCAGGAATGCCATTTGTTCCTGGTCTGGCTGCGGGTCACAGAACAGCAGCTTCGCAGCCCCCTCTGCCCTTTCCATCACCCAGTCGCCCTGCAGAAATGGGGTTAACCCTTAGATGCCCAAGATGCAGTATGTCAGACTAGCCCCGGGCTCTGCTGTGAACACTGAAATAGCACACCTTGCTGTCTGCGCCCTGGAGGAAGCGAGAGTATATGGGACAGAACAGCTATTACTGAGAAAATATCTGTGGCCGTGGTGTGCATATGTGTTACATGTACGGGTGTGTATAAGTTGAACCTTTAACACTAGATGGTGGGGAACACTAAGGGAGAATGGGAATCGGGTTCAAAGGGGAGGTCCGTGAAAATCCAGATTCTATTTCTGCACCTGAGGTGCCGATCTAATGCAGATTCCTTTAACAGAGTAAGTTGCAAAACTTTAAAATGTTAATTAACATACTAGCTATGGGAATATTAAAAATTAAATTAAAAACTTTAATCATAGCATTTCACCATGTCAGCTGTATTTCACTGTTTTTTGTTGTCGTTGTTTTAATCAGGTTATTTTAAGTTCCATGATAAAAGAATGTGAACAAAAAGTAGAGAATAAGACCGTCCAAGAGCCTCAGGGGTAAGACATTCATTCTTTGTTTAAAACTTCAGGTTAACCTTAGTTTCTCTAAATTTTCTGTACACGGTAATGGTATTTTATTTTGTGTTATTTTGTAGTCATTTATCTGGTAGACAAGAAAATTCCTTAAATCAGCTGTCTCCAAGTGCTAGTGCATAAACCACCTGCATCAGAATTATCTGGGGAAATGAAAATTCAGGACGGGGTAGGGGCCCCATTCTCTGACCCTGCCGCCCACGTTCTGATTCGGCCTGAAGAGCTGTGTGTCTAAAAGCCTCCAGAGAGATTACAACATGAGCAGGATTTGGGAATCAAATTAGTTTCTTGGCAAACTAGTTTCTTGTGACAAGAGTTTGTAAGCTGTAAGTCGACTCACTGCATAAAGGACTGTAAATTTGTGGGGCTGTTCTCACATGCTTCTAACCAAACCAATTAGAACTTAGAGATCCAATAAAATTAAAACACAGACGTAGGTGTAAAAGAGTGAAGTTGGGCGTGGAGGGGAGGAAGTAATTACAAATAGACTGTACTCTTAGCTCTTGCTGAGATAACCTTGAACAGTTCATCTTAAATGGAGTCGGTTACATAATAAGCTCAAAGGTGTTTTCTTTCTCAAGCTGACTGCCAGGAATAAGTGCTCCATCCTATCAGGCTAGGTACACATACACACACACACACACACACACACACACTCCTCCACAACCCCATCACACACATACACTCCTCCCACCCCCCAGCACACACGTACACTCACTCCCCCCACCCCCAGCGCGACCTGTACACATGCCCCCAGGCCCAGAACACACACAAGTAACCCAATGAGTTAGGTAACACTTATTTTCATTTTACAGATGAGGATTATATCACCGATGAGGTTAAATAACTTACCGAGGGTCACACAGCTGGTAAATGACAGCCAGGATTTAGTCTCATTCCCAGCTTGCTCCTAGCCACAACCTGACACCGCTTCCTTTACTATGGAGTTCGGCCATGAAAGCTCACCACCCAGTGTGGTACATAAGTCCCCCCCACAAGTGCGAGCTTCCCTTTTGGGTCAGCAGGTCAGAATGCATTTACTGAAGACCTGAAAACATGGGTATTTTCGGTTTTTTTTGATCGCTTTACTTGAGTTTTAAATTTTTGTCTCTAGCTCCATGTCAATTGCTGCAAGCTTAGTGAGCGAAGACACAAAGACCAAGTTTTTGAACAAGATGGGCCAGTTGACCACATCGGGCGCCATGCTGGCCAACGTGTTTCAGAGAAAGAAGTGAACACGGAAGGACGCCCTGGGAGACACTACGATGGACCTCAAGCAGACTGGTTCCTTGTACTTGAAGTACTTGCCTTTTTTATTTCTTTGTTTTGTGTCCTCGAATTATAATTTTATCCTAACCTCCAAAGATATTTGCACTGCATTCGATTATTGCTGTATATCTGTTAATTTTGGAGTTACAACTGTGGTGATAGGAGGTTGAGTCTGTTCCAAGTAAGTCCCTCTTCTGTGTTCTCGTCTTTCAGAATATTTTTTATACATATATAGCGAAGACGTTTTTTTTGATGGGATGATAGCAAATATCTGTATTATACACTAAGCTATTACAATGGTACTTAAATAATGTAAATTTGAAGTCATTGTTATAAAGTAATTAAAGTGGAGATTACTTAAGTATTTAAATTATGAAAGAATAATGCAGACTTTTTATTGTTTCTTAACTGACTAGAAAGAGCCACCAGCATTACTCTGTGCCTTTTGGACTTCGGTTTGCGTCTGTGGGAACCGTGCGCATTCCATTCACGCAGCACCCGTGGTGCCGCGGTGAATCTGAACTGCAGGTCCTGCAGAAAATGGGTAGTAATGACACTGTCACCATTTCAGAGCTCTCACCAATATCCTCTAAGTGCTATTTAAACCTCCCCAGCACTCACACGCACCCAGTGGACTCACCTGAGGGAAGACAGCACGTACACGCGCGGAGCGGTACCCACGGGGAGTTTTCGCACTGCTGTGTATTCAACCCAGGTAGTCAGCAGTGAATGTAAGTGGGAAGAGCAAGTAGTTGTGGGCATCTTTTCCAAATTGAAATGCAAAGGGAAAAATGGTTCGAATCTGAAAGTTAACATTGGTGTAAAACATTTATTCGAGATGTTTTCTAATGCTTTCAGTTTTAGAGATTATCCTTTCATTCTGCATGTTACAGAGAAGTACCTGTAAGTTATGGACATTTGGGGGCTGCTCTCTTGCCTCTAAACTAGAAATGACATTGGCTGTGTTATCCCTGGTTAGTCAACACCCGGCCCGTAAAGTCAGCGGCTGTTCTTGTGTTGGATGCACATTCCATAGAGTTAGGTCACCCGCGGGTCCACCAGGCCGGACCGCTGCCTGTGAGGCACCGCGGTGAGGCGGCAGAGCCATGATGGACGTGGGGGTGGGGGCGTTGAGGATTTACTGTGCGGCCTTTTTGGAAAATGGATATTTTAATAAAGAGAACTCTCCTGTGAGCACAGTCAGTGCACGCGGCGATTCTTCTGTGTGCTGTGTGCACTGGTTTCCTTCGCTTGGGACAGAGCTGGATCATGTTTGCTTCCTGAGACAGCTACCTGATCTCCTTTTCAAGCTTATGAAATAAGTTGCCACAGGCAAAGCCATTTTAAAAAGTTCATTCTGAATTGCTAACAAACTAGTCCCTGAAAACTGTTGGATTCTAGGCATTCCCGAGGAATTGAAAGTGGCTACCTTTCATGTCAAAAATGTGGATCTACTACAAATAAAATGTTTTTGCATACGTGTTGTGGTTTTGTTTTTGTCTCTGTATTCACTTTCACTTTGAAATGCTTTATCCGTATCCAAGCAAAAGGAAATGAGAAAGCATACAGTCATTAAAGTGTACTAATACATTAATTTAGGGATATAATCCATACAAATTACTTATTTTAACTTTTACTGTAAAAATGTTGCTATAAAATTAATACAGTTTCAGCCCTGGCTGGTGTAGCCCAGTGAATTGAGCACAGGCTACAAACCAAAGGGTCGCCAGTTCGATTCCCAGTCAGGGCACATGCCTGGGTTGCGGGCAAGGTCCCCACCAGTATGGGGTGCATGAGAGGCAGCCACATATTGAAGTTTCTCTCCTCTTTCCCTCTCTCTAAAAATGAGTACATAAAAATCTTTATAAAAAAGAATGTAAATTATTTGGTTTTTTCCTGAAGAGTCTTCAGTAATATCTGGAAAATTCCAAATCATATCTGTATAGAAGACTATATTAAACTATTTTATTAGTTCCTTTTATTTCATCAAACACTAAGCCATTATATTTATTTCATTTACATCATCGTATAGATTTCCTGATGTATATAAACTGGCATTTCAAGTTATGTGTTTTAGATATTAAATTTCTTGTCAGTGATTTTTTTATGGTTATTTATTGATAGCAGTCAAAATTTTTAACTACTTATGGAAAGGTAACCATTTCTTGAACTGTTAGCATTTAAAACTTTAGATATTTTAAGGTATGCATTTTCAGGGAAGCTGAAAATATTACATATTTCTCTATATAAAATATGCATGCTAAGTAGCATAAATCTAATTGACTCTCATTTCATAGATGCTTAATCTTTATTTCTGATAATTCCTTGACACTTTTTTAATATTTGCCTTTCTCTGTTCATAAGCCTTCCTGTCACATATTAAATATTGAACCTTAGGGGATACCTCTCATGATGTAAGTCATTTTCTAATTTATTTTGATATGGATTTCACAAACATAATCACCTTTCCAACATGATTTCTGTCAACATCAGAGAGCATGGAAAAAACAACATGCTCGCTATTCCTCATAGGACTTTAGAAAAATTACATAGTAGTAAACCTGAAAGTGTTGTAGCATCTAGAAAGCATTATGAAAGTACAGAGTGGAATTAAAATTTTTAAATCATTGAACAGCTAAAGTGTGGGTAGCTGGATAACCCTGCACCGTATTTTTGTTCTCTAGTAAGTGAGTTGTTAAGCACGCCAGGCACGAGCTACCCAAAATTAGAAAGCAGGGAAGTGGGGGTGAGCGGTGATGCAGCAGCCATTCCAGGTGGTAACTGGGAGGAAAAAGGGAGGAAGTGGACTCCCTTGTCATAGGGGAGAAAGCAGAGAATAGATACGTTTGGGGGTAAGTTGGTCGATTTAGTGGTGGGAAGGTTAGGGGGTTTCCATTTAATTCCTCGTATGTTTTCTCAGTGAAATGTGAAGCAAAGACATTAACTTGATTGGCATCTAGAGAGTATTGCAGGTTGGAGGAGAAAGAAGGTAGATAACGTTCCCTTCAAGAATGGCAGAGGGGATTACTGAGTGACTTGTAAGGATGCCCAGCAATTTTGACAACCCAGCTGGGAACCGTAATTATGAATGGAGAGAGAACCAGTTCACGTGATTTTCCCCCCTCCAGCTATGATCAGCTCTTACGAGCTTAGCAGGGAAAGGCTTGTGTTGGAGTTGCTGGGACCCAATTAGCGTGAGCTGAAGAACAGGTGGAGAGGCTGTGATCCGGGCGAGGCACCTGAAGACAGATGGCGCGTTTCCATGGGCCAGCGGGTGGTGAGGAAGGGTTCGGGGTTCAGTTCTTTAGGGGGGGTGTTCAGAGGCACTGGAGGGTAAGAGCTCGGGTGAGAAAAGCCTGGGTTCCTGCTGCGTGAGGTGAAGGGCTGCAGTCATGGCTTAGCCTGGCCCTCTGGACAAGCGGGTGGTGCTCTGAACTTGAGGTATGGGGGCTGGGGGGCATCTGTTCTCTGCAAGTCACAATCTTTCTGGTCCTAGCGGGAAAGGGTCGAGTTTCTCAGAAGGATGATTTTAGCTGAGGTGTTTGTTAGGTCCTCCCTACCGAGTGGGGGCTGTTCTCTATTCCTAGTTAACCGAGATTTTTTATCATGAATGGCGTTGGCTTTTGTTAAATGCTGTTTCCGTATCTATTGATATGGCCATGATTTGTCTTCTTCAGCCTGCTGGTGTATTGCATTAACCAAGTTTTGGATGCTGAACCAGCCCCACACCAAGGATGAATCCCACCTGGTCATGTATAGGATTCTTTTTATACACTGTTGGAGTCCATTTGCCATTATTTTGTTGAGGATTTTTGCATCTATGTTCATAAAAAATACTGATCTTCAGTTTTCTTCTAATCGCTTTGTACTGGCTCTGATGTTTAGGGTAATGAAATCCCATAGAATACATTCTCTGACCACAGTGAAATGACAAAAAAAAAAGTGTAACTAGAAAATAAAATATGTTGGAAATGAAGCAGTGTGCTTCTATGAGAAACCACAGGTTATGGAAGAAGTGGCAACAAAAATCAAAAAAACATTTTTATCAAATAAAAATTCAAAAAGTTCAACACTTGTCCGATGACTCTAAAGCCATACTTAGCGGGAGCTGCACATACAGGTTCACGTGCATAGATCGGAAAGGCTTCAGGTCAGCTGTCTGATGGCCATGTCAGGAAGTCTGGGAAGAAGTGCAAAGTAAGAAGCAGCAGTAACATCAGAAATTAATACAACAGCCTACAGTGGAGAAGATTAAGAAAGCTGGAAACTTCATTCTAATCAATTGAACGGACAAACTTGATTAAATCCCAATAAGACTCAATCAAGCAAAAGAGAAGGCATAAATTACCAATGTTAGAAACAAATAAATCTCTACAAACCTTATGGTATTAAAAATATAGGAGATGGTGAATAACTAACTATACTGATAGAGTAGAAGTTTAGATCGGGGTGTCAAACTCATTTTCCCCAGGGGCCACATCAGCCTCGTGGTTACCTTCAAAGGGCTGAACGTAATTTAATGACTGTGTGCATGTACCTGCTCCTTAACTAGGGGCAAGGAGCTCGGTGCTGCCACCAGGTAGAAACAAGGTGCCGGGCCGAATAAAACCAGGTGGAGGGCCGGATTCGGTCCTCAGGCCTTGTGTTTGCTACCTGTGGTTTAGATAGATAGAATGGACATATTCGTATTTTTTAAAAAAATAACTACAAAAACAAGCTACCAAAACCAACATGAGAAAAACCAAAATCCCCGTAGTTCCGTATTGGACAAGTTGACCTTGTCGTTTAAAACCAGGCCACAAAGAAACCCCAGCACCCAGACAGCTGCATCTCTGAATTCCACCAAGTACAAGTCCTCACCGTGTGTCCCAGTCTCGCCCAACAAAACTCTAACGCCGAAACCTGACAACTCCCAGTTCAGAGAAGTGAACGAACACAGACGTGGAAACTCAAACTGAGTGGTAGCAACCTTAATCCACGAACATAACCCTCATACCCTTCCAGTGAAGGGGAAGGTGTTGCATAAACTGTGATATATTATTACTGAAATGCAGCACTGTTCAGTGATGACAGGGATGACTCATCAACGTAATACTGAAAAAAAACATACACAAAGCAATACACACTCCATGTTGACTGTTCACATGAAGTCCAGGAACCAAACTGATCAGCGGTGTTACCATTAAATCTACCAGGGAGGAAGAGAGCAGTGACCAGGAGAGAGCACTGGGGGGCTTTGTGGTGCAGGTGGTGCTCCACTTCATGGTCTGGGGGCTGCCTGCATGTGCATTTTCACTTGATGACCACCGAGCCATACACTTTATGTAAGTTATACTTCCATCAACGTATTTTTAAAAAGAAACTGCCCGGTCTGGGCTGCGGTCTGCTGAGGCCAGTTTGAACTTGGCTGTTCGGGAGGAAATGCTTTCCATCAGCGTGGGACAATGCTTGTTCTGCAGTTCAGAGATTGATCTGCTTTGAACACTGAACCTGTAGGACTCAAAGTCTTGTCTTGGAAAGCAAGTGAGATGGGTTTCCTGCATGTTCCATAAATATTTCATGTTGTTTTTGGACGTCATTAGGAAATAGTACTGAAATCTTAATTTATCTCCGGATGAACACTGCTTTAGCAATGCCTCACTTTGGTTTCAAAAGCGGTTTATAGGCAAGATGAGAGAAAGAGCTAAACACGAAAGGATAGATAATAAAAACATTGTACGTTTTCACTGAACAATTTGTAAAGTCTTATGTTCAATTAAAAGTTGACATTTTTAGGTATTCCCTTTCGCGCTGTGCCCAGTGACAGTAACTATTTTTATATCACCATGTGAAAAAAATTACATAAATTGATGGATTGTCATGCTTACTGGCATGTCATTAATGAGGTCCTGCCTCTGTTTGGGGTGCTTAAATGAAGACTGTTAAAATGCAATATAATACCAGCTGTTCCCTAGAACCAAAAACGATTGCCACACTTTTATGTTACCTTTTTAATTCTGAAAACTCGAGTTCATGCAGAAGAGGGGAGCGGTGGGGATTTCCAAGGTGAGGTGCACACTAATCATGAAAAAGGGATTTTAAAATAAACCTGTAATTCCTGTGTTTGTGCATACTTTGTTTTAGCCCAGTACAAATAATTCATTATCAGTGGAGTGCTTTTTATGAAATTGAAGACTTTTAACTTCAAACAATAAATACTATTGTTTGAAATGCATTTTACTGTTATTACATATAACCAAATTTAATTATACATGTGCTTATACATGTGGCTGGATTTTTCATCATAAGTAACATTTAAACTAGTTTCCCTAAATGACAGGTTTAGATACTGTGTGTTCATCCTTCACTTCACAGAGAAAAATATGTAATTTTTTAAAGTTAAACTGCTTTTTTTAGAAAGTGGATTTAATATGTTGACACGGGCATTCCGTTTGTCAAAGTGCTTCTAAAACCAGCACACTCACCTCCGGGGCTTTCCAAGCAGAAGTTTTAAATCCCCTGATCTTTTTTTAACAAAGGAGAGGGTGATGTTGGAAGTGTGCCAGGAGCAGGCCGTGGCATTTTCACGAGGGGCCACGGCGAACGTCCAGTTCCTGTTAGCGAAGGCACGATCCCGTCCACCTTCTGCACCGCCGCTCCTCCACACGCAAGGGGACGACAGACAGGCCGGGTCACTGCGCGTTCCTCCGCCTGCGCACAGAACCGTCCCTTTCCTTCCTTAGTTTACTGAGTTTTCCCCTCTGGACCATTCACGCGGCTGCCTGTTAAAATGCAAAAGTACTTTTTTTTCCATGCAGATGAAATTTAGAAACACCAAGAGTAAAAATTAGTAGTTTCTCCTTTCCCTTTCTGCATTGCATCTGATACTGAAATATTTGGTGTTTAGTGAGGTGAGACGCACAGCGTGAGCCAGACGGCCAGGCCCCGCCTCCCGGCCCTGCCGCCGACTGCCAGGCGCGCCGGGCAAGCCACCGACCTCTGTGCTTCAGTTTGCTCCTCTGTAAAATGGGACTCAAACAGGATACCTTGCAAGCCCATTGTAAGGCTTAAATGAACTTGTAAGTACGCTAGTAGAGTTTACTATTATCATTGTCTTTCCAGAAATTTCTATTCATGACTACTGTTTACAAACATGGGGCAACATTTTTCTGTGACTTGCTTCTTTTACTCAATATGCAGGGTTGGGCAAAAGTAGGTTTACAGTTGTATGTGAACAGTTTATTGCTATTACATATATTATTTGTGTTATTTCATATCCTTGTGATTTATCTTTTAGGTAATGATGGCTTATAATTTAACCTACTTTTGCCCACTACATCTTTCCCAAACTACTTAACCTTCTTTAATAGCTGCACCGTAGTCTATATTGTGAGGGACCACACTTTTTCTGCCATTTCGATATTAATAAACACATTTTTCCTTGTGTGGTTTTGCAGAAATGCTAAGGTAAAGGGCCCTTATACTGTTCTCTGCACATATCGATATATTGGATTCCAAGGTATGGAATTGCTTTGTCCAAGGAGATGGGCACTTTGAAGTTTTTTCGTCAGCACCACCAGACTGCTTTCCAAAATGCTCCAAAGCGAGTGGGCAGTGCAGGCACCAGGCTGCACAGCACGGAGTTACTACCCAAAGAGCAGCAGGCAGTGTGCATGGCACCAAGGTGGGGGGTGGGGGTGTCCAAGGTTCTCACAAGCCCCGTGAAGTGGTAGAATTTTATCTGAAGGTAGGCTGTGATAAATTTATAAGTGCAGACTCGTATGACAATCCCAGTGCTGAAAAAATAAAACAAGGAGGTATATAAGGTAACAGCAAAGAGAAAATGGGATCCTAAAAATTCTTAATTGAAAAGATGAAAAAAGGAACAAAGATGGACCAGAAACAAGTAGCAAGATAAACTGAAACTCCACCACATCCACAGTCAGTCACATGGAATGCGAATGGTCTACACACTCCAAAGGTAGAGGCGGTCGTGCTGAATAAAATGAAAAAACGAGGCCAGTGAGTGCTGCCACTGGAAAGCAGGCATAGGTAACAAAGTGAGAAGAATGAGAAGTACTGGGCGGAGCTGGTGAGAACAGAGCAGTGGCTATGTCACAGATCAAAGCGGACTTCAGAGCCCGTTTTACTATTCATCAGGGACATGCAGTGATAATCACGAAAGCATCAGTGGGTCAAGAAGACATATTCCTAGATATTTATGCCTCTAATCTGGGCTTCAAAAACAGTTGGGGTGGGGGGCAAGTGGAGGAAAACACTACAAAGAAAACTGGACCAATCCACGATTATTGTTGGAAACTTCCAATTTTCTCAGAAGACAGAAAATCAGTGTGGGTATTTCAACCAGTTTAACCTAAATGACATTTATAAACCACGTCACCCTTCGACAGGGAGGGCAGAGTTTTCCCAGGCGCTCAGGGACTGTTCATTCACTAAGATACGCTGTGTGCTGGGCCAGAAAGGTAAGGCGGGTAGGTAGGTAGGTAGGTCGGTCGGTCTGTCACTCCGAGAATTCATTGCATTCTGAGACAAGCATTTTCACTCCAAAAGTTAACTGCAGAAATGAGTGGGTATGCGCGCCCGTCCAGCATCGACCTGGACCGTGAGGGAGGACACACAACTGAGAAAGGAATTACACGCGCCCCACACAGCTGGCTGGTTCTTGGCCAGGAAAGAGACCCAGCCAAGACGAGCGCCTTCTCCGGGCGAGGGACGGAGGCAGGCAGGCAGGGCGCCTGGAGGAGAGAACCTGGCCAGAGGACTTGGAAGGAAGATTTCAGGAAGCGTGCTGCAGGGATGCCGTGGTGATCTTTTCACTCAGTCCACGAAGATCCTCTTCTCGTTAATTCCCGCTGCAGGGAGGCCCCGCCTGGAAGGGCTGAGCGCACCGGCTCCGGGAGGGCGGGGTGCGGGGGCTAGGCTGCCGCTGTCTCCCCGACCCCGGAAGCCTGGGGTGCAGCAGGCTGGCCCGTGGCTATGAACTTAAGAGACATGCAGGTCGAGTTGCAGCAAACCACGTGCAACGGCTCTTCAGCCGAGGGGAGGGTCGTCCGGGGCTAAGCCCCCCCGCCCCCTGCGGCTGCGGACGCAGATCGTCCCGCTGCCCTCACCCCCAGAGGCCGGGGGTCCCTCCACACCCCCGGGCCCAGACGCTGAGCGGACCGCCCCTCCACGCGGCGCGCCCGTGCACCACCTGGCGGGCGCAGCTCGGCCCGGCCGGAAGGGGGCGCCACGAGGGAAGGAGGGGACAGGTGCCCGGGCGGGGCGGGGCGGGGCTCGGCGCCGGGCGGGGCGGGCGGATCCCAGGCCCCAAGCTGCTGCCGCGCGGTCTGGGCCGCAGAGGCCGCAGAGCGCGGCGCCCAGCCCGCCTCTCCGCGCCATGGCCCCGCGCGCCCGGCGGCGCGGCCCGCTGCCCTCGCTGCTCGCGCTCTTCGCGCTCCTCGGGCCGCTGCAGGTAAGGAGGCCGCCCGCGCCCCGCGCCTTCTCGGGAGCTGGGGAGGCGAGGGGGCGCAGAGGCTGCCAGACGGCTTGACAACTGGACGGAGAAGCGAGAGCTGAGGATTTGGAGACAGAAACGGCGGAAACCTGGGGAGGAGGTTACGCGGGTCGGACAGTGCGAGAGGGAAAGGGCGAGTGAATAGGCTATTGGGGGCCTGCTGGACCCCAGCACTGGACACGGCGCTTGCTTGGAAAAGCCCACTTAATGTCAGGCTTTCTTGTCATTCATTTCCCCCGACGTTCCTGGAGCCCCGAAGGTCCCACGCACAGTCGCTGTGCGAAGACACAGCCCCTCCCCGCGCGAGCAGAATACGCGAGGGAGAAGCCCGAGGCGCAAACAACACCCACGTTAGGGAACCACTGCTAAGTCCGGCTCTCCGGCCCTTCGGGGCCCCCCGGGAGCGCCGGGTCGGTCCCTCCACCTGGGCGTCGCACCACCCTCCGTTTTCCTGCTCGTCTGCAGGCTAGAGCCACGCTCCGCGCGTGCCGCGAAACCGAATTGGGCGGTTTCTGCAGAACAGCCGACCCTCTCTCCCCTGTTTTTCCTGGTCCCCTTGCCCTCTCCGACTTCCCCCGCACGCAGGTCAAGGTCCACCTTTTCAGGTTCTGGCCCCGAGTAACCTTAGAATCACTTGTCTTCAGAACCCCTCGGTGATGTTAGGACAAAATACTGTTTGCAGTGGGAGAAACCAAGGTGCACGCGGGGCTTCAAGCCCGTGGGGGAGCCAGAAACGGCTCTGCGGTCCTGGAGCTCAGTCGGGTGGGGCCGGGACCCGCGGGGCCGTCGTTGGTGCCACTGGTGCCGGGCCTGCTCCCGCCCCAGTGCCCCGTGGCTGGTGGAGGGTTCAGAGTGCTGGGGGTGCCCCCGCACAAGCGCCTTCTCAGTTTGTCGCGGCCCTCTGGGAGGGATGGCCTCTACCGGACCACTCAGCTGCAAGTAAATAAAGTGAGTTACTGGTTTTCTGCCCTCGTGGAGGGGCGCTCTCGGGCGGCGAGCCCCGCACCAGGAGCGCTACGAAAACCGTGTCCGCTTGGACGTCCCTCGGAAGGGAGGGTGAGAGGGGGCGCTTTCTTTGGTCCGGCAGTTTCGGATTTCCATTGTCTGGAATCGGCCGAGGCTCTGTGACCCCCCCCCCCCGAAACTCCCCCGTGCAGACTCAGAGAGGCGTTTGCAGAACCAACTGGGTTTGGGTGAGGACAGGGGAAAAGCCAGCCTGGGCCTCACACCGTGACAGAAATAGCTCGGATGTGCTGGAGGCTGGAGCAGAAAATGCTCGCGGAGATCCCGTCTGGGATCTCGCTCCTAGCAGGGGTCACTCAACGGCTGAGGGAAAAGAAAGCCGGCTTAATTAAGAGTTCAGCAGGTTGGGCAGGGCGCTACCTTATTTGAATTAAAAACTCAGGGATCCCGTGAACAGCTAGCTACCTGCTGGCGGAAAACCTGCCCAGCTACCCAGATTTTAAAAGCATCTCACATTTTATTACAAAACTACCCACATATGCGTTAAAATGCAACACGTTGTAATAGTAACAGCAAATCCTGTCAAAACAAGGTTGTTTTTCAGAGAGATCTTTCAACAAGGGCTGTTTCCCCTCCCTTTTCCTTTTGGCCACTTGAGTTACATGCATTTTAAAATCATACCTCAACAGAAAACAGCCAAATGATACCGGCTTCTAGTTGAATGCTATTGTTTATCCCCAGTGTCCCCACTGGAAATCCACTAACCGTGACAATGGAAACGCAGTATCAACCCCCAAAGTCACTGTGGTCACAAGCGCCCCACGGGTTCAACTACTGCTTCTTTGGCCAACCTGTTATTGAAAAAAAGGGGAAAAAGGAACTGCGTTGGCTGGCCATAGGTAGTGGTCATCACTCATGGGCAAGGCTGGGCACAGCACTTTGCATTGTTGGGGGTGGGGCGTGGGTTTTGTAAAATAGTTGGCAAACACATCTTCTAGAAAGTGCTTTATCTGCAAGTATTGGTTGCACTTGGTTTCATTCACATTAAGTGAACAGGTTTAAACCTACCTGGAAGTCTGGAAGCCTAGCCTTTGAAAACATTTCTGTGGTTCTCCCTTTGCCTGCCTGTCTTTGGGAGGGAATTTGTTTCCAGACATAAGAAGAGTGTTTGCGTACAGATAAAAAAAAAATAATGAGTTTTTATGTTGATACTTCCGCTGTTTATTCCAAGTAAGAACATACAGAAGCACACTGTTTTCGATAAGGTAACTGGTTAGACATGACTGTGCTTATTGCCAGTGACCCCAGACCTAAGCGTACATTCATTCACACCCAGGCCGAATGTGCGGGATGTCACACACTGGGTTGGTGAGAAGCAAGAGATGTGGCCGCGTCCTCACAGGCCACACCGTCCAGGGGAGAGGACAAGATGGGGGAGGCCATAACCATAAAAGAGCAGCTCTGACAAGAGACTCTGGGAGAGTGGTGGAGAGCTCGTGGGAGTGAGTGTAGCCGGAGGAATCAGGGAGGGCTTCAGGAGGGAGGTGTTTCTGAAGTGGGCTTTGGAGGATGGGCAGAAAATCAGGAGATGATGTGATTCCAAGAGGCAGCTGAGGAAGAAAGCTTCCTAGTCTAGAGGGTGGCAGGAATGGTTTGGGCATAAAGGACACTTGCAAAAAAAAAAAAAAAACCTCACATATTTTTATGACTTTACAGATAGCACAAAGCACTTGATTCAGGAACCCTCACCAACAGACAGGGCGTGAAACGTTTATAGTTCTTGAGATAACTCTTGTATGGCCCTTATTGAAGAGGTAAGGACACTAATCAGACACAGATAAGCTACAAGGGCCCTGGAAAGCCTGTGGGGAGACCCTGTAGAGGAAATTCCCTAAGGGTGGTGCCCTGTCTGGGCTACAGGATCGGTGGGTGCCCAGCACCCCCACGGCCTGTCCCCCTTCCCACCCCAGAGAGGAAGCTGGGGGCATGTTAACTCTTTGTTTGGGGAACCACACACACGTAGATCATGGCATTTTGTCAATAACAAATATTTCAAATGCCTCCCCCATTATTTCCTTCCCACCAGCCCTCTCCCCACCCCCGAAAACGGCTGGTGTGCAACCTGAATGCCTTCCCTGCGTTGATAAGGAAACATGCGCCTACTTTTTTCAGTTATCTACCAGAAATTGTTGCACCAGGAAAACTGAAACAATAAAGGTGAATCTTGGAAGGTCAGTAAATCGATATTTTATGCAGCCACAGAAAGGGGAGTTCCAAGCCAGGGCCTGTGTGGTGAGTGTTGTTTTAAGAAGGTGCTGTGGGAACTCTATCTGCCAGGTCAGTGTTAAAATCCCCGCCCCCCCCCCCCCGTATTTTCCTATTTTTGAAGTTCATGGGGGAAAAAAATCAGTGTTTTTTTCACACGGTGTGTCCTGTGCACTGGGAGTGCTGGCTGAGCCGTTCTGGTGGCCGCAGTGGGTCTGCATCCGGCCAATGTCATCAGCTCCACAGGTGATCCACTTCCTAGGGCGTCCACCCTCTGGCCACGCAGAGGATCCTGCGGGTCTGTCTCCCTGCAGCGTCCTGCCCCCGCCCCCCCTGGAGCACACAGCGCCCCCACCCACCTCCACCCACCCAGAGCTGGCCCAGGTGGGGTTCTGCCTGCGGTGACTTTCTCTCCGGGCACCTTAAGGTTCCCCACCTGGTGCGCAGGAAACCCTTCGCCTCGGCTGCATTCCCTGGGCGGCCGTGCATGGGCTTCCTACAGGGCCCACTGCTAGGAAGACAGTTTGAGGTCAGCTCATCCTTTCTGCCCCAAATCACCGGGTCTGAAGAAACCGAGCTTGAGACAGTGAAGCAGGAGGCTCCGCCCGTCTGAAGTTCTGAGTGAGCCTTTGAGGTTGAGTGCGAGTGGTGGCGAGCCAGATGACACTGCGTCCCATATCTCTGTCCCCATTCTGAAAGCGGCTGTCAGTCTGCTTCCTGCCAGCACCCCCACCCCGCGGGCCTCCCCTCTGTCTAGGCCGTTCGTCCAGGGCCTGGCTGGCACTGCAGCTGTCACGGCAGGATCCGTCGCGGAGGGAAGCACTTTCTTTCTGAACGTGTGCTGGTAACTTCACATCCGTGTTTGCTTTGTGGGCCACGCTGACTTCCAGCTGTGGTTGATGTCTGTGGCCTGCCCCATTCAGGGCATGGCGCCCACTAGAGAGAAATAACATGGAATTTGTTTATTTCAACAAAGTGAGCGCCTACCCCACGTGGGACAGTCTGTGCCAGGCTGGGGAGCACGCAGTGCAGACATGTACGGACAGTAGGATCGCAGGACCGGGCCTGTGTGACCGGGGGCGTTTGCAGAGTAGAGTGCCTGCCCAGGACAAGGGGTGCTGTAACCGGCACCGAAGTGTCCAGAAAAATACCCCATTCTTCCCGACCAGGCAGCCTCGTGTGTCTGAAGCACATAAAGACACAAGAAAGCAGCGCTGGAGGCAGGAGTTCGAGGCAGCTAGTGCCCTGTCGGGTGGGGATACTGGCAGGGGCGGGGGAGGGGTGCCTGGCGGTGTGTTCAGGGATCTCTGACAAGCATGGCACCCTGGACTTTGTGGGCCTATGTGCCCGCAGGAAAGTGGAGGTTTTATCTGGGTACGTTGTGGGCTGTCGAGGGGTGGGTGGGGTGGGGATGTGATTAGATTGTGCATCATGGGAAAGTGGCTGGGGGGGGGTCCTCGATGGGGGGGGCGGTAAGGAGACCACTGCCCTGGTTCTGGAAGAGCTTAGTAAAGGCTTGAATCAGGTCAGCGCGGTGGCGAGAGGCCAAGCTGAGTGCAGGAGCCGCTCACAGCCGGAGGGGCTGTGCTAGGGCCCACGGTGCAGGGCCAAAGGATGTGGGCTGGTTGGACCTACTGTTAAAAAAAGAAAAAAGAAGAAAAGATGTGGTTGATGTCAGACCAAATAGCTGGCGATTTGGATTGTTTCTTTTCACAGTTTATTGAGGAGAT